CTCCGATTGAAGTTGTTGTCATATTATGACATTTTTTTGTTGTCAAAAGAAGGGAGGTGTACTAAGTAACATATTAAGTTGAAAGAAATATATTACGATGACAGTTTTGGAATTCCATCTTATTTTTCCTTCTTTAAAGGTTGCAACAGGAAGAGAATCAATTGAAAAACGTCTCCACTTTGCTTTTGCATGCAACTATTTTTGTTAAGTGGCTTTAGACAATTATAAGTGGCAATATAGTTATGTCACAATTGGGATTGAGGTGTTGGTGATGATGATGGCAATTAATAATGTCTTCACCGCTTTAATAAAATTATAATGAAAAACTATTCTCATTAGTCGTTCATACATAGTTCTAAAAAAGAATATCATTGCATGCATGAGATACATCTTCCTAAGGTAGCAACTATCCTAGGAAGATGTTAGATATTTTTAATTTAAGTCACTTGACACTGTTAATTAAGTGTAAGGTTTTAACATGACAGGCATCCCTTGTTAGTTTTTGACAATTGACATTGTGGTTTTGACATGAATTTAGTGTTAATTTTATACAATTATTTGACACTTTAAATTTCATGTTACCTACCCCAACTTAGTAGGACTTGGGATAAAGGTGGTGAATTGGTGATGATTATGATAATGATCAATGATGTTACATATTCCCATGAAATATCATTGCATAACCAAACCAACAAGTCCAGTATAATCCATTGGAGAGAAGGGTTTTGTTTTTGTGGGGGTGGGGATGTACGCACATATTATCTCGTTTCTCAGAAGTAGAGACTATTTTCGAGAGGACCCTAATAAACAGTGACAAACGGTATGAGGGCAGTGGCGGATGCGGCCATTCACATCTTCCCAGTGAGTTTTTTTAAGCATATACTCCATAATATTTTTTAAAGAAATTGGTAAGTTAAAAGAGTGCCCCCAGTTAAAAAATGGTGTGCCTCTAATAAAAAAATTAAAAGTGAAAAAATTAGGGAAAGTAAAATATTAAAAAATTAAAAGAATGTAATCTAAAAGTGAAACATTTATAATTACAATAACAGAATAGATTCAGAATGTGAAACATTTGAAATTAGAAGAATATAATATGAAAGTGAAATTATATTTATTGAGACTTTCATTTTAATTATTTGAATGTTTGTTTGAGATTAAATTTATTACGGAGTACTTTTTTGTCATTTCAATTTCCCTTAAAAAAGTTGGGGTGCTGCCCCTGCACCCCCGTACTCTACTCTTGACCGCGATTACTTGTTTTCCTGGATCCACCAGTATATGAGGGGTGTAAAAAACAATCATTACATAATTGACCAATATATTGTGTAGTTACCTTTCGTAGATTTAAGTGCATACAAGTTTGAGTGGGGAAACAAAAGCAAACTTTTCTTCTGCCATTTGCACCCACCATAATATGTCATATATGATAATCATTTTATGACATATGAACTGCAAAGTGTTGATATAATTTCCCCTATTTTTATTTCAGGGGATGCACAATTGTATAGTATCTCTTATATCAAGGTAATTAGTATTGTTTTACTATAATGTATTCTGTGTAAAACAGTCATTCAAAAATTCAATTCAGATCCCCATTTGTTCATATCTTATGGGCAGTAAATGTAAAACTTGTGCAAGGAAGTCAGTGAATTTGCCCTGTTTGGGGGAAACAACCATTTTATCTCTTGTGGTATTTGTACTCTGCATGGCATTTGCAATATTTTGGGCTGCGAATCGGAAAGAATCATACTCTTGGATTGGCCAGGATATTCTTGTAAGTTTTTTTTTTGCAAATTGTTTTCACCAGATGTCTCTAATCATTCTGCATTTTTTTGTGAGATAGAACCAGACCCATGTTTCTATACTATTTTGATCTTACAATGATTTATGAGATTAAGGTGATATGTACTCCTCGTCCCTAAATTAAGTTTCCACATCATTCTTTTTCGAAAAGTCCCAAAATAATGTTCTCACATTCTCATAAAGGAATAATTGTGTGGTCCTAATAATGTCTCTCTCCTTTGCAAAAATTTAAATCACTTAGACTCAATGAAAGTCAAAGTGGGAACTTAATATAGGGATAGGGGGTGTATAGTGTATATAAAGTCCGTGGTTATATTTCTTCCAAGTTATTTACTTTCCTGTGTGGCTTAAGGCTCCTTTTGAAGGGTTGTCAAATTACAGTTGAGTTAGCAGTGGGTTTCTTGTTGCCAGGGCATAGGTCTGATGATAACCGTCCTGCAATTGGCCCAGTTACCCAATATTAAGGTACTTGATTTTGTTTGTAGAACTGTAGGTTCTCTACCGTCTAATTGATTGGTTATGGATTTACCAGTAATAAGGTTTCTTCATTGTGTATAAAACTATTATCTTTATGTATTTTACCTTATAACTAATGAAAGACTTGGTTCTAGGTTGCTACAGTACTACTGTGTTCTGCATTCATGTACGACATTTTTTGGGTGTTCCTATCCCCTTTTATATTCCACGACAGTGTTATGATTGCGGTAAGTCTTGGTTCATATTTTGCACATTTACTTGTCGCATTTTGAAAGATTAGTTTTTTCGTTGCCGGAATTGATTAATAATATAGTTAAGAATATAGGGGAATTTCGTTGTTGTCTAACAGCTGTTTATGCTTTTTAAGCTGGGTGTATTTATTTCTTCTATTTTTTTACAGCCTTTTCAATTTATTAGAAAAATCAGACGACAGTTTTTGTGATACTAAATACCTAAAAAAATCGGCATGTACTCCTCAAATGTTCTCTTTAACAATAGAAATAGTATTAATATTGCCAAATATTTCCGCATTTGTTCAGTTGCCACTGGGCAATGGTGCCACTGGCTTTTTAGAGCACCTCCAGTGCTTTGTTTGCAAAATTGATTATTCCAACCCCCCTAACTCCCCATTGGGACCGGAGTGCCCAGTGGCACAGTTGCCCAATGGCAACGGAACCCCTCCGAATTTTTTATGCTTTAGCATCCACTACAATTTAGTAGCGTGAGCATGTCTAGTGGGAATAAAATTTGGTTGAAAGGGAAGATTGAGTTAAATTTTCTGTAGTAGTAGCTAAAATGGTTGAATTTGCTGGATGGACTGAATTATCTAAAAAAAACATATTTGAAAAATAATTGTTAAAATAAACTAAAGACTAGTGAAATGGCTTTGTTAGTCCTCTAGTCATACCCATGGAACACTCCTATTCCTTAATTAACTGATCTTTGTACATCCTATCCTTGATTTTTATAAAGAGTTGCTTATTTAGTCTTTATCTGTTACTGTCACATCAAAACTAATGCATAAAATGTTGTATTATGTCCTCTTTGGGTAATGGAAAATGGAAGAAATATGAACAAGTCTTTTTGAGACAGAGGGAGTATTTTTTTTCTAACCCACGGTAAGCAACTAGTTTTACAGGCCATTCCTAAACACTTGAAGGCTCATAATTGGTTCTTCCAAGTATTTAACAACCCTTGTTCTACGTGACTGATTCTCGTCCCAGATAATAATCATAAGTTTCATTTTTTTCCTTCCTCTCTTATCTTCTTGTGTGCTGCTGTCACAACTTACGAAAGTAGAGTCGTAGAGAGTATTTTTAAAAGACCCCAACTCACAAGGACAAATGAAATGAATGAGAACAGTCCTATAGGTAAAACTAAACGCAATAAGATACGGGAGCAAGAAATGATGATAATCTATCAACATACAAAAAAGACAACAAGAGCACCCCACTAAACTTAGCTCCCCCTCCCCCAAATAATAAAAAAATAAATATTAAAAAACCCAAATGGGCACAAAACCCATTAAGAAAATATGTATCAGTATGGTTTACGACAAGTTCTCGTCATGGTTTACAAGTTCTTTTAATATACCATATCATGGATATGCAAGTCGATGAGTCATCCTTGTACAAATATTTAGCTCTCATCATTCGAAAGAAAATAGATTCTTGTAACTTTTTTCTCTTTCAATACCTTTCAATCTTTGGGCTTGTTTTTTTTGGCATGAAGGCCATTAGAAGGTCAATTGTGTGTTTTTTTAAACAGGTTATGGAGCCCAATAATAAACTTTTGATTTCTTCTCAATCAATCTCATCTAAAACATATATCTTCCTCCAAATGGCCAAGGCTTCTTGCTTTGCATAGCAAGCAGTTTGTTAAAACTATTTCTCCATTATTTTTTGTGACACTAGTTACGATATGGAGGGCATAACCGTACAGTTTGATGTTACCGCGAACCCCCCCCCCCCCCAAAACAACGGAGATATGATATATTTAACCACCTGTGCAGGTTGCTAAGGGTGACAAGAGTGGGGGAGAATCCATTCCAATGCTTCTGAGGGTGCCTCGACTATCAGATCCTTGGGATGGATATGACATGATTGGCTTTGGGGACATTCTGTTCCCTGGCTTGCTAGTTTCTTTTGCTTTTAGGTATGCTCTCTTCCACCTTGTGTTTTCGACACCACCATAGTTTGTAAGGCGTCGCCTAGGCGATAAGGCGCTGTCACTGGGACACCTTGTCTGCTCGCCTCGTCTAGAAAACCTTAAGGCGACCAGGCGTTCGCCTAGGCGTCACCTTACCGCGCCTTACCTCGCCTTGATACTTTGGGCCCCTTTAAAATTTTGAAAAAACCCATTTTTTAGTGCAGCCCATTTTCTTTTAGTGTAGCCTAATAGACTTAAACTTGTCTTCTCTCTCTCTCTTAATCTTCTCTGTCAAGCTTCCTTAAAATGTATAAGACCTATATTAATATATATAAATACACACACACACACATTTACATATATATACACACACATACATACCTACATATATATGTATGTATGTATGTCGCCTAGTCGTCGCCTAGGCGTGCGCCTAGTCGCCTAGGCGATAATGCGATATGAAGGTACATTGGCGCCTCGCCTCGCCTTGCCGCCTTACAAACTATGGACACCACACACCAATTTTTCTTCAGAAAGAAATCTAGTCCTGGTGGCAGATCGTAAATACGAAAAAACATATAAAGTAGATAATGATGTGACTCTGAAATATAATGTTCATAGTTTATAATATCATTCATCTCAAGATGCTTGTGTAGTTAAGAATGGTGATCTTCACAACTTTCATTGAATGAACATAAACAATGCAGCTTAATAATGCAAGTTTCTACCCCACAAACTTCACTTCATCGTTTTCTGTTTTTAATTTCTCGATGTTTTTTGCAGATTTGACAAAGCTAACCAAAAGGGTCTACTGAATGGATACTTCCCTTGGCTAATGGTTGGTTACGGAGTGGGTGAGTATTTCTCCTTGTTCCACTGCCCCTATTTGCATCGAAGCTCTTCACGGAGGTTTACCATCCTTCTCGATCAAACTCATGTTGAATTTTTGCAGGCCTCTGCTTTACTTACTTGGGGTTGTATCTAATGAACGGACACGGTCAACCTGCTCTCCTCTACCTGGTACCCTGCACATTAGGTATTCTGCTTTCAAATCAAATGCCAGTTCACTTACATTTGGGTCTGTTTAGAAAACTGGAAAATGGCTTCTAGAAAATAATTTTGGAAAAATAAAATCATTTTCACATTCTTGGATGAAAGTTCAGAAAATAAAAAAAACTTGTGTTTGTTGTTATAAACGCGGAGCCGTTAGTTCACATCTAAATCATTTTCTTCTAAATAAGGCTTATTTTCCAGAACAGCCAAACAACAGAAAATGAGAAATTGACTTCAGGAAGTCACCCCCCCTCCCGAACGGACTCTTGATTATAAATACAAGGGTTATGCTCTGTGTATATACGTCACGGTTTACACGGACATCACATTTCTTCACACAAGTTAGGTCGATATTTGAGAACTCGAAAACATTTTGATGCTCTATTTTTTTATGGTAGGGACCTGTGTGGCACTGGGCATGATTAGAGGTGAATTGAGAAAACTATGGAACTATGGCACTCAATCTGCAGAGATATCTGGCAGTGCCTGATCCTGTATTTTACTCTCCCACTGTGTTATATATACTGCATCAAACAACAGATCAGCTCGTGGGAGAACGAAAAAACGGGTATTTTCATGGCTCTATTGTCCCGTGTTTTTAACTCCATACGTTTTTACTTTAAGAGATTGTGTAAAATATATATATGATGGAATACTAATTATACACTATATAAGTTTTCAACAAAAAAAAAGTATACACTTTATAATATATACTTGTGTAAAGCGTTGTAACACCCTTCACATTTGTGTTGTGGTGCCCTAATTAATAGCTTTAATTTTTAGTTTTACTTCTCCCCCTCTAGATCATCACTATGTTTTTTTTAGATTAGATAAATAGAGTTTGATTACATTGATATTAGGAGTTAAAAAAACGGAGGGAATTCAAAGCTAACAATTTTAACTCAAAAGAATATGGCCTAAAAGGTGTTTAACAAAAAAAAGGTTATGCCGCAATCCCTAGAGAGTAGAGTCCTTTACACTATGTTTGGTTTGTGGAGTTAGTAAGAAAAAGAAAAGAAAATGGGTTTTCTTCCTTTTCTTTGTCAAAATGGAAGGAAAAAGGTTCTCTCTCTTCTTACCTTATTTTTGCTTCTCCTTTCCACATCGTTTTCTTTTCTTTCTTAAATTCTTTGAACCAAACATAGTGAAGTATTGGCCTAGAGAGTAGGTTCGAAAGACTTAAATAGAGCTTTAATTTCATATTGGCCGAGATAGAGTTGGATCTGTCCTTGCTGCATGGAAGAATCCCATGCTTAGCATGCTCATTCTTTTTTACCGTTTTCAGGTTACTTCATGTTCGAGTCAATTCTAGTTCGGATTGAGAATTGTATGCTCATGATCTAGTGTCATCGGGTTCAGGTCGGCCAAATGGATTATGACTTTGGTTTTTAAGGTTTTTTTGAATTCATATTAACACATGTATTTCCCATTAAATATAAATTAAAGTATCAAAAAATATGTATGAAATCTACTCCCTCCGTCCCTAAATAAACTTCTCCTTTCGTTTTTTCTTTGTCTCCAAATAAACTTCTCTTTTTTCTTAGAAAACTCTTTTTACCTCTTACTTTTTCATACCCCACCTATCACATCATATCTTTTTACTAATAATCTACATATCACATCTTACTTTTACACATCACATCAAGAGTGTTTTTTGGAAAGTCAACACAAAAATATCTCTCCCTTAAATCCTCAAAAAGTCAAAAAGAGAAGTTTATTTAGGGACGGATGGAGTATTATATTATTTTATTTTGAATCTTGAAGTTATTTTTAGGTATATAAATTACTCCGTAATATAAAGAATTAAAAATACATATTTTTTTGGAAAAAAGTAACATAGTTTTGCAATATCCTTAAAATTGTCTTAAATATAAATTTATATTCTAAAATAAGAAGAAAAAAATATAATTATAATTTTTTTTTATATTATGTGTCATGTTAAAGTATATGATTTTGAAATATTCTTACATTAGTGGGTTGGTCAGCTCAGGTTTGACCTATTTTTAGTGAGTCACTTCGAGTTCGGTCAACAAAATCTTTGTTCAAAACCCAGTATTTTCGGGATGGATTTTGAATAAAAAAAAGTCGGGTCATTTTTTGATAGGTCCAAAAAGTATTATGATTATATAATTTTATCAAATGAAAAATAAAAAGAAATTGGTCTTGTTTGAGAAACAACATTTTTTATTAATATTAATGTTTTGGATAAAATTTTAATAGCGTAGATTAGTCTTGAAAACGTTAATGTTTACGGCTATTGTCTGATAGTTTTTTTAAAATACTAACAAGATGATATCAAACGGAACCATTGTGTATAATTGTACTACCTCCATCTCACTCTTTTTGTCCAGTTTTGACTTTTGGAACTGTTCATCTAAACATTTTGACTCATCAAATTCTCTCAATGTGTAAGTCTAAAAGTAGTCATGTGTGATCTTGTTTAATTTGTCTTAACATGTAGATTATTAATATATAATTTTTATAATTTTTTAATACACAAATTACAAGATAAAATGGATTAAAGAAGTGCATTGGATGATGTGCAAAAATGAAAGTGGACAAAAAGAGTGAGACGGAGGGAGTATAAATAAAGATGAAACATCTCTAAAGAATCAATTTAGACAGGGTTTTTTTTAAAACCACAAATTTGGACCTTTATACCCTTTTGGAGAGAAGGGTAGATATGAAATCATCTAGGGCTCGGAGGGAAGAGCCTTTGCAGCCGTCAGATTGATCTTCATCATCGTCTTCTTCTTCCTTCACAGCTCCTCTGATCAGTTCCCTGACCCGACCCACCTTATCCCTCATTTCCCTGCTCCCCAGCACAAGATCTACCACCCTCTTCACATCGCTCCTCGCCAGACTGCTCCGGACTCCCTTCGTCAGCTCCACGCACACCCCCATTTCCTCCGCCATCATCTTCGAATTGAACGCCTGCTCCGCCGCCATTGGCCACCCGATCATCGGCACCCCCTGGCTCAAGCTCTCCAGGCTCGAATTCCACCCGCAGTGGCTCAAGAACCCTCCCGTCGATCTGTGCCACAGGATCTCCAGCTGCGGCGCCCACCCGTGGATCACCAGCCCCTGTTCCCTCTCTTCGAACCCCTCCGGCAGCCATTCCGCCCTGAATTCCCCTTTCGGATCGAATCCGACCGGCGGCCGTATCGCCCAAATGAATGGCTTCCCGCTGTCTTCCAACCCTAACGCCAATTCCATCATCTGTGAAGCAGATATACTGTTCTGAGATCCGAACGAGATGTAGAGAACAGAGCGTTCTGGTTTCCTGTCCAGCCATTCTATACATTTCTCCGGCGACATACCGTGAGCCTTCCCGGCCGTCCGTTTTCCGGGAATTTCGGAGGACGGCCCGTCCTTTAGCATTCCCGGAGGGAGGAAAGGGCCGATGCACCAAACCGGAAGCTTCGTGAAGCTTCCTAGTGCTTCGGAACCCAACGGCTCGATTTCCTTGACGGTGTTGCAGAGCCATCCGAAGGAGTCCAGGCTGTCGGAGATGAATGGCTGGAAGACCTGAGACCACGAGTCTCTGCCGTCCGAGGCTCTCATGTGAGGGTGGAGGTGGGAGAGGTTGAAGCGGCAGGAATCCGGGAACCCCGGGATGGCGAACTCGCCGTCCTCTCCGGTGGCGGAGAGGTGGGGGAGGTTCAGCCAGAAGGAGTTGTAAGCGGCGGAGCCATAAGCTCCGGCGGTGGCGAAAGAAACGTTGACCGTCCCGCAGGACCGGGCGACCTCGCTCCCCCACCCGACGAACAAGTCGGAGATTATGCAGAGCGGAGGCTTGCCGTCGGCCTCAGTGACGTCTGCCACGAGACTGCGGAATGGGTCCTTGAGGGAGCGGGTGGAGCGGATGAGGGTGATCATGTGGTGCAAGGGCAAGGCCTCGGTGTTCTCCGTCTCCGGAGGCAAGCCATGGGCGGCGGAGTCGAAGGGCAGCGCCACCAATCGGATACCCTGTTCTCCGTCGCCGGCGGCGGCGGCGCGGGAGGCGAGGTAGCGGACGTTGAGAGGGGTGGTGACGAGGGTGACTCTGAAACCGGTTCTTTGTAGGATTCTCTTGGCCAGGCCCATGAATGGAATCATATGGCCATGCGCCATGAATGGAACCATCACAATGTGCTCTGTTTTTGACTCTTCCATTTTCTTTTGTTCTTCTCTCACTTCTTTTGCTTCTCTTTCTCCTCTCTGTTTTCCACTTTGAGGAGTGAACTGAAGGAGGAGTACCTATATTTCTCTACTTTCTTGGAAGATGGACACTAAAAAAATAAAAAATAAAATGATAGGATTAGAATTTCAATCATGCTAATACACCATTTAACTTGTACCATAAAGTGATGCAACTAGCATTTTAATGATTCACACTCTGATATAAAATATTTGTTAAATCAAAAAAACTTACATTAACCTTTCGTATCATTGTAAAACATCACATTAGTATTGCAGTAACACAAAATATTGGTACATGCATTTGGGGCATTTGTTGGTACATGCATTTAGAGTACAAAATGAAGTATAATTTTTAGTGTACCAATATCATTTCTCTCAGAATTTATGCGGAGTAGAAGAAATATATTGTGTACTATTTGGGGGAATTGTAGAATAAATACATGTTTTTTGGACAAGAAATATCAAATTATAATATTCCCTTCATCTTTCTAAGATCTTCTCGTTTTGACTTTTTGTGGTTTTTTTTAGGAGAGTTGAAAAAAGGTAAAAGTTTATTACCCTTAATGAAAATTGATGGAATGTATTAAATGAGGTAGGTGAGGTTTAATAAATAAAGTAAGTGAGAGTAGTTAGGGTATTTTGATTATTAAAAAAGGTAATAAAGAGATTTATAGTGGACAAATAAAAAGAGTTAATGGGAAATCAATTGAGGGCGGAAAATGTGATTATTTTCATAATGTTTGTATTTTAACCTAATGTTTTTCAGTGTTTACAATACTTAAATAACTTTATTTTTTTTAAATGTTAACAATGCAAGTTATTTTTAGAATTGTTTAAGTTAAATATTGTAACTGTAATAATTTAAAAAAGATTAAACTAAACACCTAAGTTGTTAACACACAAAAAAACACACGTAAGTTGTTATGAAATACTCCCTACTTAGGAAAGTACTTGACATTTATGGAGTAACTAATGGGACATTGTTAACAACCATGCTACACTTATACCAAAAATTGTACATATTTGTAAACTGCAGTTATACACAAACATTTTGATTATTTATACCGACACAAGTGTTGTGCGTTAACAAAAATTTTACACGAACACAAAATGTTGGTGCATTAACAAAAATTAATTTTACACCAATACAAAATTGTGATGCAAACCTGCGAGGTACATAGTGGGTACAAAAATTTGGAGTAGAAATAGCTTTATCCCATTGTTAAAGGCCCAAGCCGTACAAACCCATGTGCAAATTAGCAATGGGTGATTTGATATGTCCATGATTGTGGGATTTGTGGCAGGCAGGCAGGCTATTCGTCCTTTCTTTTGCTCCTACCAAAAAACCCTTTTAGCCATTGTTTGGAGAGTGAGAAGTTGGTGAGAAACCACAATTTCTAATGTATTTTCTCTTGTTTATTTGAGGAATGTTAGGAGTACACCAAAAGTGTATCTCAAATGTACATCACTCCCTTTTCTATTATCTATTTTTATTTAATTTTTATTTATTAATTTTTTTTGATTTTCTTGTCCTATTATGTGGACAAAGAGGAATGGGGGACAAATGGGGTACACCTTTGGTGTACCCCTACCATTTTTATGTTTGTTTACATAAGAAAATTATGAGGAGAAGAGCTAGAGAAAAAGTGGGTGGTTCAAGTTGAAAAGTTCTCTCATCTCATGTGGTGATAAAAGTAGATTATGAAGAGAAAAAAATGAAATTACAATTTTGCACATATTTTAATCTCTCATCATCCATTAAAAAAAGGATAAAAATGTCTTTTTCTCATTTTTTCTCACCATTTTCTCATCGAGTTAAGTGCACAGTTTACCCCCGTACTCTTTAGAAATTGCATGTTTTACCCCTGAACTTTAAAAAGTGCATCGATTACCCTTTAACTTTTCGAAAATTGCACGATTTACCCCTGCAGACTAAAAATGCACCAAATACCCTTGAACAAATTAAAACGTTGCATCGTTGGTCGTAAACTATTAGATAGAGAGAGTGTTGCTTCCACGCACAAGAATTGTGAATATCATTCATCTGACCCTTGTGAATTTTCCAAAATATCTTTACCCAAAATTGTCATCTTTATTTAAATGTTCAAGAGTAAACCTTACAATTTTCGAAGAGTTCAGGGGTATTTGGTGCAATTTTTATTGTTCAGGGGTAAACCGTGCAATTTCTGAAGAATTCAGGAGTATTTGGTGCACTTTTTAATGTTCGGGGGTAAACCATGCAATTTTCAAAGAATTCGGGGGTAAACGGTGCACTTAACTCTTTTCTCATCATCCAAACGACCATGATTTTGTTTATTTTTTCTTTTCATTTTCTTTTCTCTCATTTTCTCATACCATCCAAACAAAGAATTAAGATAAAACGTCTATCCCAGACGCACCCACACTCCGACTTGACAGGATTGCAAGGTGGTGAATCATGTTATAATCTCAATTTAGTCCTTAGAGTGGTCGCTTCGTTCCGGGTACACACAAGGAGTTATTACAAATAATAGAACTTCCACATTGCCGCTGTCGAGATTTGATCCTATGATCAACAAGGTTGATATCTTCTCCTTGGACCAATTGAGCTACCCATGCAGGATTCTGCCCTTTCAGAGTGAGGCATGCTAGGAGTACATGACTTGTGTACACCAATTCGCACTTTGTATCCCTAAGCTTTACATTATACATTGATGACTTACATTAACATCAAATATCGGTGCAAAATTCTTCAATCGCGCTGACATTTTATGTTAATATGAACTATCAAAGTGTTAGTACAAATCTTTGGTTATAAAATAGTGTACACCAAATGGGGTACATCTAGCTTTGTTCTTTTAGAATTAAAAGTTTGTTTACTTCAACTCATTCTTATTACTTAAGAAATATTACTTATTTTTATTTGAATCAATTCAGATCAGATCAGATCGAATCAGATTATATAAAATCAGAAACAACTTTAAATATAACTACATTCAGATCATACTAAAATTTATTTCAATCAAATTAGATAAAGAGAACAAACATGAAGCATGTTGTAACTACTAAGGGTTTCTACTGACACTCCGATGGCACATTTAAATAAGTAGGTGGAGTAGTAAAATATAGCTAAACAATTTATCTGAAATATAGCTAAACAATTTAAACTCCCAACATATTCTATAGTTCTATAAATACTGCATTTAGTTTATGCCTTCTTTCTTAGTAATGGGAAACAAGAAGACAATCTTAGAACAAAGAGAGTAATAAATTTTTCTACATTTGTTTCACTTATCATTTTAGTGTTGCTCTAAGTCTCCAACCATATCATATCATCTAAAATAAATATATACTTTTTATAAGTGTTTAGTTTTTTCTTTCTTAATCTTACATTGTTGAGTATTGAAGACTTTTTGCTCCATCGATCCAACATTATCTTTTCGTTGTGCATTACGTTCTTTGACTAAAGTTATTTTTAATTCAGTTTATTGAAAAACTGATGCAGAATTGATAAATAAAAGCTACGTATTTTAAAAATATATTAAAAGTTATTAGAATATAAAAGGTGACATGACTACATTTTTTCATCAAATGACTAACGAAAATTGACACACAAAATAAATAAAGTTTAACTTTATTTTTAAATAAACAAAATAAAAGGTGACATTACTATATTACTTTATCAACTGAGTAACGAAAATAGATAATGAAATTAATAAAATTTTATCATATAAATAGTAAACATGCAATTAATTTAGGACAAGAAAAATTCTTGTGTGATTTTTAGATTCACGCTCATTTTATAGATCTTAATACATGGACATGTTATATTTTTTTAGCCAAGTAAAAAGAAAAAAATCAAACTATAAGTCAATTGAAAATATGCAAGAGAGTCTATATTTCAAACATGAACATTAAGATCACAATAAAAATACTCATAGGATGATGAAGTACATACTACTTTGCACTCCCTCCATCTCATAATAATGATTTATTTCACTATTCATAATTTCATATAGTTAAATTGTATATGCACTTTTTTTACCTATTTTCTTTTTTGTCATTTGATAAAATAAAATAGTCTTATCACAACTGATTTAGTAAAATTTTTTAAATACTCCAGTCTAGTGAAACAGAGTATTTTTTAAATATATATTTTCTCTATTTTATACGGAGTATTAACTATTCATTATAACTTTAAATAAAAACGTGAATGAATGTATAGAATGTCAAAGGACATCAAATTATATACTCACTTTATGTACATATTTTCTTTAGTGATTTGATAAAATAAAATTATCTTGTCACAATTTGTTTAGCAAACTATTTAAAGTACTCTATTCGAGTGAAACTGAATATATATTTTTTAAATATATATACTTTCTTCATTCCATATTAACTACTCTTACATAGAAAATGAATGTATAAAGTGTTAACGGATAATTAATGTGGAATGCAGGAAGTATATATTTTATCTATCAATCCTGCATAATTGATTAAAGTTGAATTAAAAATAAATTTAATCAAATATTATAATCTGAAATTGAAATATTACGAAGTATTAGGAAACTAAAGTAAAAAAACAAATTGAACTTTTTGAGTAATTGCTAAATCTGTTCCAAAAATGATTATATACATACTTTTTTCCTATGTTTGCTATATTCACACCGATTACTACTCCATATAATTTTGAAGTTGGTGTAGATTTAACAAATTTAAGTAAAAAGGTGGATATAGTTATATTTGAGGAGGATTTAGCAATATAAATCCTTGACCATATAGTATGGTGGAGAAGGTTCCCATAACATTGAGAACCAATGTCATGGGATGACCCGGGGGCGCTCCGGTGCCCCGTTCGTAAAATTAACGATTCATACCCCTTCTAACTCCCCGGTAAACCCCCCACCCCGCGCCGACCTGAACACACCCCCCAACCCCTTCAATTGCACTCCACAAGTCGATTTTGACTTTGGAGTCAAATTTTGACTACAAAGTCAAAACCGACTTGTGGTGCAATTGAAGGGGTGGGGGGGGTTTGTTTGGATTGGAGCAAGGTGAGAAAGTTAGGAGAAGTAGGAACCATCAATATTACGAACGGGATACCGGAGCATCCCCGGGTCATCGCATGACATTGGTTCCCATTGTCATGGGAACCAATCTTTTTGAATAATTTTAAGAAAACCCGAATGTGGAGGTCCGCAACCCGACCCCCGTATTGGTTGCCAACCAAGACCCAGATTAACCCAATTTGAATTTACCGGAGAAACGCAAAAGTGCAGTCGTTCCCTCTCTCAAAATCGTCTTCTCCGGCACACTTCAGCTCGGGAGCACGAGATAAGGGAAAGAAGAACCAGAGCAAGAAGTTACTTCATCTCGCTTCGTCTCTCCATAGCCTGGGAATCGATGGAGCTTGACCCCGACGATGTGTTTCGCGACGAAGAAGACGACGAATTCTATGAGGTTCTTCCCCCCTTATCACTCTCTGTGATGTTTCCGGTAAAGTATGCTCATTCCGATTTCGTCTCCGTTTTCATTTACTTGCACAGGAGAGAGATGCCACGAAGGAACTGTTGGTATACATTGTGGATGCTTCCCCTAAAATGTTTTCCACCACTTCTCCAGCGGTTAGTTTGTCTCCATGTACGCATTTACACAAACACATAGGGAAGGGAAGTTCTTTACTTCTTTCTTGCTTATTTTGGGTTTTACCCATAACTTGATTTTTTGTGTGTGGATTTTGTAGAGCTTGCCATGAAATGAAAGAACTATAATAGTATGCTCATGCATGTTAAACTTGTCCAATTGAGCCGTTCTTCCACTTTGTGTGTGACATTGCACTTGAGAAGCTTGTTTGAAAATTGAACCACAACTGTCATCAACTACCTAGCATTGGGTCAGTTTGGCTTTTTTGAGTCAAATTGAACAACAAATATTATCATCATCTAAATGAAAATGTATATTATATATTAGTACAAAAATAATTTTATTAAATTTGTCTTGTGGAAAACATTCTGGAATTTATTTTATTGTACATTTGTACTGCATTTTAATGTGTAATGCAAATTTAATGTATTTCATGATTAAAGTTTGGTCTAGTTTGATTCAAAAAATTCAAACCGAACGAATACTTAGGAACAGAAGGAGTATGTTGCTCCATTTGACTCTATCTTTTGGTGTATCCATTTAAGCTTCTTATTTAGCGACTAGAATGCATTTTCCTTGTACCCATTAATGCGAAAAATTCAGATGATGTATTATGTGAGCTATTTTTCAATGTTAGCATGTTGTTTGTTGTATACTTCTCCTATCCCCAAAAGAAGTTTATACTTTGATGTCTCGGAGCATGGGAAACATTTATGCTTCTTATTTAGTGACTAGAATGCATTTTCCTTGTACCGATTAATGCGAGAAATTCAGATGATGTATTATGTGAGCTATTTTTCAATGTTAGCATGTTGTTTGTTGTATACTTCTCCTATCCCCAAAAGAAGTTTATGCTTTGATGTCTCGGAGCATGGGAAACATGGGAGGTATTTTCCAATGTTAGCATGTTGTTTGTTGTATACTCCCCCTATTCCCCAATACAAGTTCACACTTTGATGTCACGGAGTATGGGAAAAGTGATGAAAAGTAAAAAGTGTGTGGTTGACATTTGTAAAGAAAAGTTTTGTGAACCACATACTTCTTACGTAAAAAGGAGTAAAATGTTATTACTCCCTCCATTTGGATTTAGTTATCCAATTTTCCTTCCTTGAGTGTGTGGTTCTCAAGTATTTAGTAACAGATTATTGGGATTCATACCCCCCCCCCCCAAATTTCATATTAGTATTATTTCCATCAATGAAGATTAGTTAATTTCAAGGATTTCTTTTGTTATTTTACTTTCTTTCATTTAATTTGTGATGTTTTAGAAAGTGAACGAAGTCCAGACAGAGGGAGTATAAAAATATATCGTTATCTTGTCAAGATATGCATAGCCTATTTGTGATTTTGTGTTTGATGTATGATTTGGTTGTTTACTTTAACATCTATTTTAAGTTTGTAACACTGCATTGATTTACCAAATGACCAGCTAATTCATTGGTTATTAATAATTACATTTCATTTCCTAAATAAACATGTTTATGGAACTCGAAAATACATTACATTTTACTATGTTATACCATATCATGGTTGCTCAAAATTTTCAAACGTGTCTTTCTTTGCAGGAACATGAAGAAGAGGTGTCTCATTTTGAAGTTGCTATTAACTGCATTGCACAGTGTCTGAGAACTCAAATTGTCAATAGGTCGTATGATGAAGTTGCAATATGCTTCTACAACACCGTAAGCTAATGATCCTCATAAGACTATAACACTTTGTCTCTTAACAAATGTTTTATAGAAAATGTTAGGCTAACTCTTGATCTCACATCATCCTCCCAGTCGGGATTTGTTTCCTTTCTTTATTTGTTCTGATCAGTGGCTCGTACACTAGATGTGGGCACACTTGTTCAAATAAATGTTTTAAAACTGAGCAGATAAACAGCATATTCAAAGGTGTGGGAGATGGGGCGTATACAGTAGATTTAGGAAAACACAATACAATCCACACTCGAGTGGGGGCTTCACACCCCCTTAGGTCAAAACAATGAAATCTTGACAATATCCTTGAGAGTTCAGTGGGAACACACCCCTTGAGTAATGAATTTATCTCATTGATTTTTTAACTGGGCCTGCATAAATGTGTAAATGCTGCATAACTTTTAACAGAAACGAAAAACATGTGGGCTGGAGCCTTTGTAAAATTGCTGTTATCCAGAAATTGTTATATCACAAGCCATTTTCAAAATTATTTAATGTTCACTAACATAATTTATATTGGTCCATTTTCAGAGGGAAAAGAAGAACTTGCAAGACTTGAATTGTGTCTATGTATTCAATGTCCAGGAGCGAGATGATTTGGACAGGCCAACAGCAAAACTTATCAGAGAATTTGATCTCATAAAAGGTACTCCGTAGTTCACACCTATTCTATACTAAAAAATGCAACTTTAGTGCATTGTGGTAAGTTGGAGAAGGAAGCAGTGAATGGTATATATGTTTTTAACCATTTTGTAATAAAGAAAAACACAAACTCACAGGGAAATAAAAACCCTTCCTCTGACTGCAAATCTTCCGTCATTGCGAAAGTCTCACTCGGTCTCAAGCACATTCCCTTTAGTACTTGAATATTGATATTATTGACCTATGCAGAAAGATTTAATAAACAAATTGGGAGTAAATATGGCATTGAACCTGGATCCCGCGACAATTCACTGTACAATGCTATTTGGGCTGCTCAGGCTCTTCTCCGCAAAGGGAAAGTATTTGTCTTTTTATTTTTTAAATTTCTTAAAGATTCTTCATTATCTTAAATGTCATGTACTTTTGAAATTCAAATTCTTTTACTTTTCAGTGATAGTGGCTCTTATACCATTTCAGATCTGCAAAAACTGCTGACAAAAGAATTCTCATATTTACAAATGAAGATGACCCTTTTGGTTGTATAAAGGGAGCAACTAAAATTGATATGATGAGAACAACCCTGCAGCGAGCCAAGGTATGATACATTTGCTACAGATTTTGTTAATCAGATTTAACTACTTGTCTCAACTCTCAAATAAACAGAAAAAATAGTGGGACGGACAAAAAAGTGAAAATGGAAAAAAATTATGGGATGGAGGGAGTATGAAGGAAGCAATTGGATCTCACAACAGATTCAGCGATTCATACTTTTAATATCACAAATAGTCAGTCTCGAATAATGTTTCTAGTTTTTCAATGAAAAATACTTCAATGATTTTTAGATATTGTTTATGGTATTATCAACAAGTCAATAACAACCTAGTAAAGTCCCACGAATGAGGCCTGGTCATCTGGGGGAGTGGTGTGTGTACACATATCTTACCTTACCTAGAAAGGTGGAGAGGCTGTCTGCGAGAGACCCTTGGTTCAGGTACAAAATACAAAGATAAAAGGTTAGTACAACTCAATAGATCAAGGGAAATCAAAAAGAGGAAAGGAAGATAAGAGCATGTAAATTTGTAAAGTACCACTGGGCGAGCATCTAACTAATCCTAAAAGTTCCTCATGTGAAGAACAAGACTGCGTACCCTATAACTGGAACCCTAGACCACCAATCACTCCTATCTAGGGTCATGTCCTCGGTGAGCCTCCAAAGCTGTGTGCTTATGGTATTATCGGGAATATTATCATATAGGGCATGCTCTGTATTATGTAAAGAAATGTACCAGATGTATTTATCTTTCTTTGTTGTTGCAATGTGACATAGTGTTAGCAACTTGGGGCTCATACACTGTCTTTTTCAGGATGCTCGTGATCTTGGCATATCAATTGAACTTCTTCCTTTAAGTAAACCAGATGAGGAGTTTAATGTTTCTGTTTTCTATGCTGTATGTTCCTACTTTTTCCCACCAAAGTGCAAGATGTTTAAAAAATGTCTGATCCAACATCTTTGCATATAGGAGTTGCTTGGTTTGGAGGGTGATGAGATTGCTCAGTTTAAGTCATTGGTAGGGGAAAGGTATGCATTTTAAAAGCTTTTATAAAATTGGTCACTCTAAGGAAATAATCCTCCATCATTTGGATTATTGATGGGAAGGCTCGGGGCATGTTGGATTGAAAATCTCTCCTTTTTCTAGCATTGGAATTAGTTGAAGAATAAATGACCATTTGATTTTTTTTTGGTGGGGTGCAGTTTTTTCTTGTTTGCTGAAATGCTGATTTAGGCCTTTTGTTTAAGATTAATCCATACTTCATAAATTGTTAGAAGCATCTTGCCTAGATTGTATGCGTACACATTTTCTGATTTATTCTAAGAAATGATAGATCAGAGTGGCTAATTCAGGATTGTCATTTATTTCTTTTGTTGCTAGCTTTCTGATTTCAAGCATTTTGTAGATAAGCTTAATGAATACATGCCTGACAAGATTGTGTGTACTCATTTTCTATTCTGCGAGTCGGAGAATGTAAACATGCTATGATATTATAAAGTTGTATAAATAAGGTTCCTTTCATATCTCAAACATGTGAATTTATGGTATCTTTACGTCTCTTTTAGTCATGATACATATTGTTTTATGCTCTTGAGCTCCATGGATTTCTCATGTTTACTTTTCTGAATATTTTCCCATAAATGCCTATTTTCTAATATCAGACTTGAAGATCTGAGGGGCCAATTAAGAAAGCGTATATTCAAGAAGCGCAAAGTTCGAAGAATTAAGTTTATAATTGCAAGTGGCTTATCTATAGAACTTAATACATATGCTTTAATTCGTCCAACCAACACAGGTCTGGTTGTTGTTTTCTCATAGTATTATGGAGCAATTGGCTTCGAGATGTTATAGCTTAGTCATTTCTTTATATCTCAGGGACTATAGCTTGGCTTGATTCTGTCACTAACCTTCCCCTGAAGGTAATCTTGGCGTCTTCTTTGTTTTTCTTGAACACAAAATAAATATTAAGCTTTGAGATGGCAAATTTAAATGAAGAGACAGATCAGTAGTCTCTGCACAGGGTGCAAAGTGGAATTTAAGAAAGCGATGTTCATTGGATTCTGTAGCATGTCTTTATTTATGGGTGAGAGAGAATAACTCAAGGTTGTAATAGTCAAATTCGCTCAAGTGCCTCCCGAGCTTTCATCTGTTATCTTATTCTAAATTTGACTCCATGACCACTATCAGGTTGCTAACCATTATAGAATGCAATTAGTAGTTATTTAGTGCCCTTATTTATCACTGGTTAATAGTTATAGTTCTATTGGTTTAATTTTCTTTAGCACTTTGTATTTCTCACATTTTTTGCTTTTCGCAACCACTGCATCTCATGCTGTTAGTTCTTTGGCTGTAAGATTGCTCAATTTATTTAGCTCCTTTTGTTTATGCATGCAATGTTGAATTAATGAAGGTTCTTATATCTTCACTAGCCAATAGTCCAGTTCTGACTGTACTTTGACAAATAACCTGTTGCAGACTGAGAAATTCTTGATCTGTGGGGATACTGGTACACTGATACAAGAGCAACCGAAGCGTTTTCAATTGTACAAAAAGTCAGTTTTTCATGTCTTTTAATTGTTCATGCATTTCCTGAAAATGAAAGAAAGTTCTAGTGCATGCTGATTTGCTGTTTTTATTACTTTCTTCTCGGTTATAAATTCAATTATGTTATTTTGTTACCGTAACTTTTCAGTAAGGCATTTTGCTTTTTTGGTTTTACCCTTTTTTTACTCAGTGATACTATCATGTTCTCCGCCGATGAACTTTCAGAACTAAAGAGAGTGTCTGCTGTACACCTTCATCTACTGGGTTTCAAACCATTGAGTTGTCTGAAGGACTATCACAATTTGAGGCCATCAACATTTGTCTTCCCCAGTGATGAGGTCAAAAGCTAATTTTTTGTCCTGTTTGTGCTTATTATTTGCCTAAGCCTAATACATCCTATTTATGTTTATTATTTGCCCAAGCTTAATTGATTTATTGGTTTCTAACGTAGCATTTTCCAATTTCATCCTTTTGGAAAAGAAGCAAAGGAAAATGGGTTCCACACTTCCACCAAGTGAAATAGTGAAACTTGAAAGGAAATTTGGAAGGATAATGTGGGGAAAGTAAATATAGAATTTGAACATTATATTGGGACAAGCTAATTAGGAAAAGGAGTTCTTGGAAACTTTCTCCAAGGGAGTATAATGGATATTGGATAGGACACTTGACAACTTGTGTGTGAGTCGTAATTCAATCTTGAGCAAAGAGGGATGTGTATTATGTGCATACTAAGTTGTTCTCCAGTATTATGATGTACTAAATTTGAATGAATTAGTAACCCTCGGTAATCTTTTACCATTTTCCAAGAAGGAACTGTCTAAATTTGAAGGGTCGTGCTCATTGTAAACATTTCGGTATTAGAATATTGAGTAACAGTTACCATTCTGACATCCTCGAATTGTTTTACAGTTATTTGTGTTAAGTACATTTCTTAACAATAGTTTTGGTGCAGGAAGCAATTGGAAGTACTCGCATTTTCATTGCTTTGCATAAATCAATGACGCAGCTCAAGCGGTTGGTCACCCTGGAAAGTCTTTATATTCATTTGGGAACAGATCCAATCTTTATGCACTATCTATTATTCTTGTACTTGGTATTGATATACAAATGAATGATTAGTCTTGTCTCCTCGTAATATACTGGTCAGTGGAGACACATTCAATTTTCCAGTTATTAAACTGGAATCTTGATCCACTGAAAGACTTCTTGATGCCAAAATCATTCCATCTATGGTATAGTGTGCTTTTGAAACAAAAAATAAAGATGTGTGTAGAACATTTGCTGTGTGTCTCACAAACTACATATCTCCAAACAGAAACGTGTAGCGCACAAGGGAGACTCAAAAGCCTGTTTTTAGAAATGATTTTATGGAGTGCTTTATTTCTTAATCACGTTTTGAAAGACATTAACTTGTTCTATTTCCATTATTTGTATTTTCATTTATTGTAATTAAATGCAAGAGGATTAGAGCTGCATGGATGAAGCATGAGCTTACTTCTTGTGTCTTTTGTGACACTAAGATTTCGACAGACCTGAATCAAAGTTTTATTGGTTTGTGGTCAAACTGGCTATGTTGTATGGAGCAAAGTGATGGGAGTGAAGAACACTCACATTCAGAAGCTACATGTGGCAGAGATGAGGTTGTTGATGTGGATGTGTTGTCATACATGGATGGATAAAAATCAAAATGAGGATATCTAAGGGAGTGTGGGAGTAATCTCTGTGAAAGATAGGATGTGAGAAGCCAGACTGAGATGGTTTAAGCATGTAATGAGGAGAAGTATGGTTGCCCCAATGACAAGGTGCAGGAGGCTTTAGTTAGGGGGTGCTAGGAGGGGTAGAGATAGACCTAAGAAGAGTTAGAAAGAGGTGATCAGTCAAGAGTCAAGACTTACTTCTTCAAAATTTTACCAATGATATGGCCTTAGATAGTAGAATTTGAAGGTCTAGGGTTAGGGTGATATTGGACCTAAGTTTGTAGTTTTTGCTTGTGTGCCTACGTTTGTGGTTTCTACATGTGTGCTTGATTTCGTTTGTGTTCTTACTTCGTGCTACTTTCATTTGTCGGTGCTTCTGTGTTTTGAGTTGGGGGTCTCTTGGAAACAACCTCTCTACTCTTCAAGTAGGGTAAGGTATGCGTACACACACCCTCCTCAGACCCCACTTTGTGGGATGTGGGATTTTAATGGATTTGTTGCGGTTGTTGCAATTATTTTGTATAACATTTGCAAGTTATGCAATTTCTGACTTTCTGTGTCTAGAGGGTTGTTCCCAATTTATATATATATATATATATATATATATATATATATATATATATATATATATATATATATATAATTTGGAGCTAAAACATTAGTGTCTGAATCATTTACTAAATTTTTGAAGCAATTAGTTGCTAACTTTTTGTTTTGGAATAATTCTCTCATCTCAGTTTTGCACTTGCTTTTTATGGGAATTCATCTCAGTCTCGGTTGGTTGCACTCATTGCTCAGGTAACACAATTTACTATGTGCTCAGTCTCCGTTTTGCAGTTACTCCCTACTAAACAGTAAATGTGCACTTTACCTTTGTGAGAAATCCACCCAAGTTCTTTTTTATTATGGAGTAGAAGCTAGTAATGCACATCCAAAGGACTGGTCATTCAACATGTCATTTGTATGATCTGAGGCTATCCTCCCTTAATGAGGAACTTAAAAGAGGTGCTGCATATTTGAAGTGCTTGACTATGCATCTGATACAACTAGTTATGTTCACGGAGGATGGTTACAGTTTGTATATGTAGGGTCCATTTGATAAGGATTATGTTTCAGGAATTGACGAAGCGGATGAATTTTTTGAAAGGAAAAGTGTTTGGTGACATCCATTTTGGACAAATAAGAGTCAATAAGAGTCTTTTGCTAATTTTGCTCATAAGCAGAACAAGCTTGATAAACCTGCCAAACGAAGCCTTAATCAATAAATGAACAAATTGCATGTCATTTAAAGGTTATCAAGGCCATTACTCAGCATACCTAGTGTCCGTCATTTGTATGTTTGCAATGTTTATGCATATAACCGTACGACAATCTCAGAAGTTTTACCTCCTTCACTTTCATTCTACTCATCATGATATTTTAGTCATTGGTGATCTGCAGGATGAGATAACAACTTCTCGTGGTCAGATCGAGCCACCAGGGATGCATATGATTTTTCTTCCTTATTCAGATGATATCAGACACATTGAAGAGGCAAGAGGAACTAAATTTAGTCCAATTGTCTGACAAACTTTTCTTTTAAGGATCTGTTGGTTCCTTGATGCAGCTTCATGCAGATTCAGAGTCATTGCCTCATGCAACCGATGAACAAATTAAAGCGGCTTCAGCTTTATTGAAGCGTATTGACTTAAAAGACTTCTCTGTCTGCCAGTTTTCAAATCCTGGTAAAATGAGGAACCCACTGGACATTATTTTTGTTCATTAACAAAAATTTCAGAGTGTTGGATAATACCACTCATTTTCTGACCTTTGTTGGGACCCTGAGAACCCAAAGGGTCAGATATTATTTGGGTGTTGGATGGAAGGTGCAGTATGCTCTCACAATCCTACCCTCCCTAGACCCCATTTGTGGGAATACACTAGGTTGTTGTTTAACCATTGGGTTCTTGGGTGGATCTCTCCCTCTCTCTCTTGGGTATCCTCTAACAACTATAAGGGTACAGCATTGCAGAGACACTATGCAATATTACAGGCTCTTGCATTGGAAGAAGACGAGATGCCTGATATGAACGACGAAACTCTTCCCGATGAAGAAGGCATGTCAAGGTATAACATTTTGATAATTTTGATCACGAGGTTGTAAAACACAGCGCAGGTGTCTGGATGTAATCAATCTCTGCCACTTTATACTTCAGGGCTGGTGTCGTTAAAGCACTAGAGGAGTTCAAGGTGTGTGTATATGGAGAGAACTACGATGAGGAGATTGAGCTGGCTTCCAAAGCCAAGACTGCCGCCACAAGCGAAGCCTCCAAGAAACGTAAAGCCATTGCAGAAAATGCGGTCAAGGAGTACGCAAAGCATGACTGGTCGGACCTTGCAGACAATGGACAGGTAAGAATAGAGAGAAGAAAAAGAACGCTCTCTCAACCCCTGGTTTCACTTGCTGTAGTTAGAAACACATCTGCCGTGGTTGATTTGGCTAACTTAAAAAAAAATTGATGATTGACAGTTAAAAGACTTGGCTGTTCAAGAGCTGAAGTACTACCTGGTGGCCCATGGCCTTCCGGTGGGCGGGAAGAAGGAAGTGTTGATCAGTAGAATATTGAATCATATGGGCAAATGAGTGGCTGCTGGTTCTGGTTGTGGGAGGGCTCTGGTATTTGTTTTTGAGTTCATTTATTATAATTAAAGCAATATAATTCGAACAATTTGCTTTACATAATTTACCATATGTGGATTTTGGATATTCAAGTTAAGCGGCGCTACATCGTCATTTCAATACGACTAATTGAAGCCGTGTGTTTCATGACCAATTTCTGTCAGGTCGAGTCTTCAAATTCGTGATAATTTCAACTTTACTGGGGTTTCAAAAATAGTCTTCGAAAGCATGGCACCCTTTCGAAAAAAATGACTTAACAAATATAGATTTTCTTCAGTCTCTCAAATTGTGTCATTCTAGATAATATCATCTGTTGGGTTATCTAGTAAGCCAAGGATATGAGCGGTTGTATCTAACCAGAAAAGCTACCATGTTCTTTGATTTCAACGATGATATATTGATCTTTGTCGAAATCAAATAGCATGGTGTTATGTGTGAACCGGATGTCTTATCAAGTTTATAAATATGAGATGGATTTGCGAAGGAAATGGATGAGAATTGAGAAGTGATATGGGCGAAAAATGGGAGATAATTTTTAAGAGTTCTTTTTGGTTTTTTATGAAAGAAAATAATAGGTTTTGGAGGAGAAAATGGCTGTTACGAAAATGGTAGAATGAAAATAGGAAGAGATAAATCAAGTTGGTTTACGAGACATTTGTTGCACACTATGACAAATTATCATTATTCACTCAAAGACTTATTTTTTCCTCAATTTCGTCCAACATGTGTTGAGTATTTTTGGTCTTGCGTTTGTGTATAAAATGGTCATTTGTGGGTGAAAACAAGACAAGAACTTTAAAGAAGTCTTGACTTTTGAGACACTAAGTGACAAACATTACTATTTATTCAAAAACTTTATTTCTCTTGATTTTTGTCCATTATGTGGGATATAATTTGGTCTTGGTTTAAAAATGACTTACTTTTGAGGTTATTATGACATATACGTCCTTATAGAGTGGGAATCATAGATAAGACTTTTGTGACACAAAGAAGGCAAGTTGGTATATTCCTTTGAGAAGTTTTCCTTGATTTTTGTCCATCAAAATGATGTGGTCTTGTTTTGTAATCTCAGCGTCTTAAACTAAATTAAATGTTTACTATTCGTAAGGTTAAATTTCTATTTGTATTATATATTGACATTATATATGTATTTTAATTTCTATTTTGATAATAAAAACATGAAATTTCTACTTTGGTACATGTTTTCTATGCTTTACTCTTACACCCAAGTCTTGTACTCTATAGAATTGATTACAACTATTTAACATATTTGTTTACATAACAATTGTCTATTGTTTTAGATTTGTTTGCACAAAGAGTGCAACCATCTATATTCAAAGAAGGATGCACTGTATGTATGTACAGAGTACAAATTTGGACACAATTATCATCCATGATGTCAAACTCGAGGGCATAAAACATAGTTAAAAAAGAGTTCTTCCATTTCAATAGCTGAACACAATTACGGGTAACACCTTTGTTTACGATAATACAAACCACATCTAAAAAATTATTCCCTCCGTCCCAAATTAAGTTACATATTTACTATTTGTATGGTCAAACTTCATTCACTTTCTTTCTCTATATGTACCATAGTAATTTTTATTTTTTAATTCTACAAATTTTTCATATAAAATGATTTAAAAATAATTTTGATAAAACATCGTAAACCAAAATAGGCAATCTTAATTGAGACCGAGGGAGTATTAGCAAATACTTTGGGGAACGTCGTAGTAATAAATACTCCGTAGAATGGATCAATATATTCTACACAAATTATTTTTTCATTTACGGTTTTATCCGTCCAAAAACTACATTTCACATTGCCGAGATTCATATTTATTCATTGTTTCCCTAACCATAATTTGATAAAATATTTACATTCTCCAATCTTGGTTGCAGAATAAAGTGGGCATTTTCTTATAGATGTATGAAGTAATTAATGAAAGGATAAAACATAAAGAAGATGAAAGTATGGGCAAATTATGTTGCTTCAATTGCTAGGTTCAATTCCAATGTCAACAACCAAGCACAAGCATGAGTCCAGATATATGAACACAAAGTAAATGCAACTGATTTTTTAAAACTAATTTAATTGAGAAACAAGGTAAATGCGCTGAGTTTATACTTTTATTAATGCTTACTTGTTGGAATATATATATTTACAAAACTTGATTTACACAATAAAAAGAAAGGAAGAAAATATTTTTGATACGCCATAGTTTGCGAGTTGTATACCTATCTATCTATAAAATATATGCAAACTTCACTATGAAAGCCAAAATGCATTGTGGTTTTGTATCTATTCTTTGCCGAATTCCCCCTCTTAAAAAACAGAAACTTTACGATAGAATGGATGGATGTTACCTGAGCCAAACTCAGCAGACAACATTTTGCAGGAAAAAAGATGCTAACAAAAAAAAGATGAGACACATATTCACGCGTAGGGTAGAGCCAAATGATATAGAATGAGCACCAACCAAATGCACAGACCCCGTGATTTCATCCTTCAATTCTATGCTTGATGAGCCTGAAAACAAATCTGATCTTAGCACAGACTTGACAGTTGACACACACACACACACACCAACACATCAGTGTAGATGATATCAAGTGACAGGTCCATGGTTCGTGTGACAGTTCTAGAATTTTTCATCACATCATTCCTTCTTATGAATGTTGAGGTTAATGTTCGGATGGACCTCCAAAAGTCCAATGGAATTTCATTATGTAGTGAACTAAATGTGGAAGATCCTTAAGTATAGAGGATAATTTGTGGAGTTAAGTCAATCAAAGAGTTACGCGTTTGAGAAACATGACTCTTTTGTGCGACGTAGGGAGTACTTTCTTTTATACAAGTACAATTAATTGGCACAATTAAGGTGCTGGTAATGATGATGATGATGGGATTGATGGCGATGACCATGGAACTAGAAGATAAATGGTCTGTGATATGTTTTTTTGGATCCAGCAAGAAAAAATTGGTTTTGTGGTTTTTCTTAGAAAATGTCAGTTGTAATGATGTGGGATTGACACAAAGAGAAACAGTAGAGATATACTATGAAAATATGTGATTTCTAGCAATGTATTGAGTAGGAAGTAGCTTACAGTTATATTCTGTCCATCCAATGGCCTGATTTTCAAGATCATACAGGACTAGCTTATTTGAAAGTACCAGATCTGCAAGCATAAGAGATTTTGCTATAATATTACTCTGATGCGCTCACACATTCAGGGAGTGCAAATGTAGTATAAATAATTAACATAATGATGATAAATCTTCATACTCCATACTATATGGGCCAGTTTGGAACCTGGTAAAACTAGGGGAATAAAAGATGGAGGAAAATAGGCAGTCAAATTGGAGGGGAATACTCTGTAAAATTTAGGGTAAAACAAAAGATATGCTCAAAATTTATTTTAGATATTTTCTAAAATACAGAGTACATCTTATTTATTTCTATTAGATAAATAACATGATATCTAAATATATGTACAAAATTTAAAAATATTAATAGTTCTTTTATTTTCCATCAAGCTGTGATTTCATTAGCGGGTCAGTGAAAACGTTACAGGTGGCTGAATGTAGAAAAAGAAATAAACCTAATTGGAAAATGTACCACACTAGAAACAGTGAGACAATTTTGAAGAGTGTCCTTAAGCAGGTCAGGTAAATAGGTTTCAGATTTTTATAATATACCCATTTAACAAAACCAAAGATGCTATCTTTACAAGGACCTTTTAGCTATTTAATAGTGATCCTGGAAAATAATGGACTCGTGATGTCTCAAAGACCAATGTGAAATGATGCACCAAAAAGAAGACCCGTGTGAAACATAAAATTTTATTATGACATACGGAGTATTTGACTTCGTCAATTTTTTCCAGACAAAAAAGCAGTGCTTATATATTCAATACTTGTTAAATATTCAAATAAATCCTATTAGCACCATGTTTATGGGTTAGGAAGAGCTGATCAACTTAATCATAGATTGGACTCAAGCAAGCAAGTAAGCATTCAGTTTGTTCGCCAATCACCACCCTCTATCACGAAAATGCCACGAAAACCAGCAGCCTAAAAAGTGATGTTACTTAACACATGCCATCTAGCAATATCAATCAACTAAATCTACAGTCCTAGAGTTCAAAAAAAATAAAATAAATGATTTACTTCAATAACAAGCATACCTCCTAGAAGGGTGATGTTCTTTCTATCACGAGTTTGGATCCCACTGTTTTGCCATCCAATGCAAAATAAATCATCCTGTTGAAGCATAACAAAAGAGTTGAGATGTGTATAACATTAGTTGTAGTGCATGCAGCACATATAGCAAAAACTAAAAAGAGTAAATTCCCAAAACGGTCCTTTCTAATAAGGTGTTTTTCCAAATAAGTAATACTCCCTCCGGCCTCTGTCCCTGAGTATTTGCCCATTTTTTACTTTCTTTGGTCAAAATTGGTAGACTTTGACCTCAAATTAAATAAAAATGATACTCCCTCTGTCCACATTTAAAGTTCCTGCTTTGACCAGGCACGGAGTTTAATAAAACTAAAATTTACATTGACTTTCCCAAAATACCCCTCAACCTTATCTACGCCCCCACCGTTCTTGGCCCAAGTTCCTGCAGCCCAACCCCATTGTTCCAGAGACAAATTCCGGCGACCCAAATCCTACGAATTTCCGGCCAGTGAGAAATTCTGACGACCCAAATCAAGCATTCTATTCCCGCACCAAGATGTAAGAATCGAAGAGTTCTGAAGGAGATGAATAAGATTTGAATCGAATTTCTTCATTGACGCTGAAGAAGATGAAGATGAAAAAGATCTGAAGAATCCTTCGTCGATTCACAGATCTGAATCCGGTTTTCCCAGATCTGACGCACAAGAAGTAATTGAAGAAGAATAGAACGGACAAATCAAAATGGGGGAAGAAGAAGAAGAGGAAAAAATTGGAAGCAGATTAAGAAGATGAAGAAAGGAAAATTCAGAAAGGGGGAAAAAGAAGAAGAAAGGAAAAATCTGAAGAAGAAGAAAAAAGAAAAGAAAGGAAAAATAAGGTGGAAGAAGATAAGAGAGAGAGAAGGAAAGAAGAAGAACAAGAAATGAGAAATCCAGAACTGAACGGAAGAGAAGGAAAAAAAGAAAGAAAAAAAGGAGAGAAGAAAAGTAAAAGATAAAGAAGGGTATTTAAGTCTTTTTGATAAAAAAAAGTTACCAAAAAAAGAAATGGGAACATCATTTATGGACGGACCAAAAAGGAAAGTGGAAACTTTAAAGTTGGACGGAGGGAGTATTAGATCTTGATACCAAAATAGTTTTATTAGATTTATTATATCAAATATTTTCTGAATACTATTCTATCTAATTAATATACAATATATATTTTATTTAATTAAAGGTTAAAGGTTGAAAAAATTGACCGAAAAAAGTCAAAACTAGACAAATACTCAGGGACGGAGGTAGTAGTTACTAATATGGTCCTTTGTAATTGAGATGTATTTTCTAAATAGTCCTCTGTCACAAATGCCTATTAAATGACAGTTAAATGTAAGGTATTTTGGTATTTTCCATCATCTAAACTATGAATAAGTTCTCAAAATGATCCTTTGAAATTAAGTGGGTGGCTGCTAGAGGACCGGACCCACCCCGAGTAGGCTCATGGACTCCATTTTGAGAAAATATTTACTTAGAAATTATTAGTTTGTAAAAATACTTAATTACTAGTATAAAGGAACATTTCGAGAACATATTTTAAGTCTAGATGATAGAAAATACCAAAATAGCTTCTATTTGACTGACATTTTCGACAAAGGACCATTTAAAGAATAAATCAAAATTATAAAGGATAAAGGATCGTGCACGTGATTATTGAGGACTAGTTTGGGAAAATATTTTATTAGAAAGGACCGTTTTGAGAATTCACTCAAATAAAAATATGCAAGTAGAAAACATGCAAAGGACCAGACATCCGTCAAAAGTTCTAACCAATTGTGTTGAAGACTACTTGTGAAAACTTCTAATCTATGTACTACATGCATGTGAAAAAACCCTTCTAAAATGATAGATCAAAAAGCAGATGCTTATGCTTTGAATAGGGAGCTTCCAAAAAAATTAGAAGGGAGGTGATTCCTACACCAGCAAAATGAGAATCATTTTGGAATTTAAATATGCAAAGTTTAGAAAATAACATTTGGAATGAATGATGGAATAAATGATAAACCGCCGACATAAAAGCATAAAATGGGAAACTTGCACACTTACATATGGAAATAGGTATTCTTGAGGAGTAACATTCAGAGTGAGTGAATTTTGAAAATATAACGTCACTGGAGGAAACCCATCATCAACGCTGCAATATATAGACGGAAAGTTCATTGCAACTAAACATGTGTTTGCAAAAAGATAAAATAATAACAAAAAGTCAACTTAGAAAAAATAATAAATAATGTGTGTTACAAAAAGTTAAAACGTATACCAAGTTTACACAATAATGGCCAGCATAACTACCAACTTTTAACAGCCTAATATAGGAACCTTGGAGATATCTACACCAGTGAAACAAATTAATAGTACAGAACTGTTTAGATAATGAGAAAGAACAACATCAACAACGAACCCAGTATAATGCCAACTTCGTTAAAATCTGGGGTCAAGATGTACAAAACCTTACCCTGTATTATTACACAGAGGCTGTTTCCAATATACCCTTTAAGCATTATCACATTTACTGCCCGAAATATTAAGGAAAGTAAGAAAATGGAAGTTTAAACTATTGTGCCACCTTGACTTGGTTCATTATTTTCCCAAAGCTAAAATATTGTCAAGATGACTCTTATAACTACATTGGCAATAAATGCTTTAGAGAGCAACAAAGAAATACAGGTAGCTGAATCAAGTAAATAGTACTTTTGTTTCTACAATGTTTTTCTAAAATATTACAGAGTATCCAGTATAAGGAAAAAATGTTGAACAAGCCAATCTAAAACATTAAATTGTAAACATATAACTAGGACATTTAACAATAATATGCATAAAGAATGTCAGATTGGATTAATTCACATCATTCATTGACAAGGAACATAAAAGAGGTAGATCTAGGACAATGCATACCTTTCGGAGAACTTAAAGCATGTGTATTCATCATTAACCGTGCGTAATTTCAAACCAGGCTGCCAGGAGAGTATCTAAAACAGGATGATGATGCAAAGGCTGTAAGATTCATTCAGGTCCTTCCAATCAAAATTGAATATGATGCAACAAATTATATTAGACATTATCAAAGAACCTTTTTCACTAGTTGGTGATATATGACTTCTGGAAGATAAGCTAATGTAGTTCCACTATCAATTATTGCTCCCCGATTGTCACCGTCCATATATACATATGTTGAGAGGTTTAGAAACTCACGACCAACTCTGACTGCTGTCATGTTGACATTGTAATGTGACCTAAAATATTCATGCAAGAGATGGTGGGGTCTTAAACAAAAACTTCAGTATAAAATATTGTAGCTTGGAAAACAAAGAGAAAATGCTTACAGAAAGAAAACTTAAAGAAAAAACGAAATAACATGTAAAAAAACTCACACAGGACAGTCCATAATGCATACGTGAAATGAATTTCACATTTTTTGTTATTAGAACAGTAAATGAATAATATGGAAGAGCATGTCCAAAATTACATGCAAAAAAATCAAATACAGTTGTTCACAGACACTTTTTGAGTACTTTTAAGAAATGCCAATCGCGTGAATCTTATGGATAAAAAACCATTGGGTACTAACGCTCTTATTCTTGTACCCCCAAATCAGTGTTTGTTTTCTGAATATGTTTTAACATTAAGTTATACCACAAAACAATCTGTGCACAACGGACGTCTTCTTTTTTGGATCTGATGCAAACCAGGCTGCATTGATGGATTTTAAATTTTTAATTATATAATTCTATATGCTATAAATAATACTCCCTCTGTCTCATAAAGAACTTCACACTTTGACTCTAGAGTTTAAGAAAAGTGTTGAAAATTGAAAGTGTGACTGGAATTTGTTTAGATTTTAGAAAAGAAAAAGAATTGTTGTGAGCCGTATATTTATTTGATGGAGAAGTGTAAAGCTTAATTTGGGACATCCAGATAAGAAAAGTTTGAAGAGGGAGTATAATAACAAGATCACATATACTATGTTAGAAACGAATGTCAATGTAGAATTCAGTCCATATTAGATAATCATACTAGCTAAGGGAAAGGTAGAATTGGCATACTGGTTCGGTATCAAGGGTGTCATAGTTACTTTTGGTTCAACAACATGGCCAATGGCAAAAATACCTCCTCCGTTCACACCATCTAGACAATGCGCAAACATTTTTCTCACTCTACCAGAAGAAGCCAACTGTGAAATCATGGATGAATTGGATTTCCCAAATCCAATGACCCCGTCAAGCGCATCATCTGATGAGCTCAGGTCATCAGATTCTGTTGCACCACACCTGCCAAATCATTAAAAAATGACACATAAACAAAGTGTTTAAACTAGTCTGTGACACAGTATTTCTAAAGTAAAGAAATATTGATACCCAATAATCCAAAGATGGTGCTTCCTAGTTCAACGTATTTGAGAATAGAGCAGTTTTAAACATTTAAACAAATGTATACGCAAAAGTACATAAGTAACTTAAAAGGATAATGTCTATGTGCGCTCACCCAAAAATAACACTTCCATTTGATGATTTAGTTTGGAGATCACCTGACACTTGATCATACTGTACGATATCCTTTACAAAGTAGCCCATGCTATAACTTCCATCTCCATAAACTTCAGTGTAATAGCAAGATGTATTACCGTAGCAACTCGCTACTGTGTCTCTTAACATGTCCTTGCAGAATTTCTGGTTGCACAAAATTAATTGCCCAGTAAGAGAATCCTTTGGATTATAGAAACTCAGCTCCATCTGTCAAAAGAGAGCAGATAAGAATTGTCATGATAACAAATGGACAATCAAAAGAACAATACCAAAGCATAGACTGAACCATATATATGAGGAAAAGGACCTACGCCATGGTAACCTCTTCTAGGGCACTCTGTGCATCCAATGCAATTAACCCACATAATGTCACTCCCTGTATCTACTTGCACATAATAATCCAATGCCGGAGTTCCAATCCCAATTTTGGCATAGTAAAGCCTACAAAAACCAATGCATAGAGAAAATCAACTCCAAGAAAATCCTAGACTGATCCACTTGAAAAAAAGGACATAGTCATGAGAGATTATTAAAGAGACGTTGATTGATGTGTACCCGACAGAATCAGGTCGGCCGGTTCCGCCGATGGGGAGGTCGACGCCAGAGAGGAAACGGAGATGGCGCATGTCGTCGTGCGCGCTTAGGGCAGTGAGAGTCCGCTCCGAACCGGAGAACTTGTAATTGACCCTGATCACCCCCTCTCCTCCCCCCCTCGCGCTTGGAATAATAATAAGAAGAAGAAGCAGCAACACCAGGAAGAAACAGCAGCTGCGCCGGCGGCCAGGACTTCTTCTACCGGAGAATTCAAACGCCGGCATCGCTGTGTTTTGTGAGGGCTCTGCCCCCTAATCGATTCCCGGGGACTTCCAGTCAAAGATGCTACAACTCCCAAGTCCTAAATAGGGTGCGAGCCTAGTCTGGTTTTTGTTGGGAATTGAAACTCCAAATCAAAGTTGTTTCTATTTTTTTTGGAATTCTATTTACTGTTAGTATCTGTTTATAATATTCTCAAGTTAATGACGCACAAAGAGCTAATGTTGCTGTTTTCGCTGGGGCTCGAACCTGGGTGAACTTCACAAAAGTACTTAAAATTGGTTTTGAAGTTACTATTTGGTCTTTTTGGACATAATTATAATTTTATATATTTCTAATTTTGAATTTAAACTCCATCTTTTTTCTTTTTCTCATATTCTCTACCCTTTCTTCTTCATAAATATGGAAATGGGGCGGTTAAGAAAAATGGTGGGGCTAAAATTTATAATTAGAAATATGTAAAGTTGTAATAATACCCAAAATGACTTGATAGTAACCTGGAAAACGAGTAACGACTCTAGGTACTTTTGTGAGATTTTTTCTAAAACCAAATATTTATGAAAAAGAAATAAAGTTTACATACTAAGATGATATATTGACCATCAGTGAAATATACCAATTATAAAATTGGTTTGGATGGATTTGAGTACAAAAAATTACTTTTTTATTTAAAATGTTTAAAATTTCTCTTCTACATAGTATTTTTTAAAGAAAAAATAAATCTATATATAGTTTATAAAAGAAACAATTTAAATAGAAGTAAAACATAAAGTCATAGAAATAATACCAAAATATAAGTTTCATGCTTTTAATCCCTAAACAGGTATTCACATTGTAGTAATGTGATAATGTATATTGACATTTTACTGTACTTTTTGATGATGCACATGGTCATGATTGATAATGTAAAATGTATTTTAACTCCTATTTTGGAAATAAAATCATGATATTCCTATTTTAGTATATTTTTAATGTTTTACTTCTACTTTCGTTTTTTTCATACTCCGTAATATTTCTCTTTTCTCTATACAAATCCCAGTAACGGAGATATATCCAAATGATGAGTGAATTTAAGAACGTTTTTAGTATAGAGTATAATTGTATAGTTTTGATTTTTTGTATTTATCCATTTTAAAATTTGGTCTATAATTAAATAAAATTTATATTGTATATTAATTTGGTAAAATGATATTTTCAAAATGTTTTATAAAACAAATTTAATGAAATTACGTTTATATCAATATATGATACTGGGTATTATTTTTATTTAAATTTAACTACAAAAAAGGACAAATATCGACCCGAAAAATCCGTCCCCAATCCGATCCGGAAAACGGGTATCTAATCCGATATTTTTCATTTTCAGATATTCGGATCAGATATCCGAAAAAATTTGATCGGGTATAGAATTAAATTTTAGTTTTTTTGGATATATGGATATCCGATTATTTGAAGATTTTTTTTAAAAAAAGTTTTACTTTTACCCCCACTAATCCTAATTTTTGTCCAATCTGCCACTCAAGACTTCATTCTTTTACATTCGAACTTCATTCAAACACAGAGATGCACACGGCGATTATTTAGACTTCATTCGATCATCTCTCTCGGTCAAATCACAGAGACACTTTCTCGGTCACTTTGCTCGGCGGCTTCGAGAAGGGCATGATCACATCTCCTTTTACCAAATCTATGTTGAATTTGGTAACAATTGTGCGTTGATTTTACCATTTTACCTTTTTTTTTAAATAAATTTTAACTATAAGATTAAACTTTTTTCTGATATTTGATCGATCCGATCCAAGAATTTGGATATAAGAATTTTGAATATCCTAAATTTTGGATATCTGAATTATAACTTATAACCGTTCCCGCCAGCGCGCACCCAGTGCGGCGGACGCTAGCACGCAGATCCTCCGTTTAAAACTAAATTAGGGTTCTTTCTAAACAAAACCATCCACTCTACTCTACTGCAATGCTAAAAGGCCGCGAGAGCATCAGAAGATTGATCGGTAGACGCCGCCGGTTTCTTCCCAATCGCAATATCATCCTCTCATCACCCGCCGCTCAGGTATACTTACACGCACTGGCAGAGTTTCACGAAAGCTAATATAGTGGCTGAAATATTTTATTTCATCTAGGGTTCCTCGAGCCAGGGCGAGACGGCCGATGGCTTTGAACCCGAGCCTCATCAACACCAGAGCGGTGAAAATGGAAAAGGAAGTGATGACTGTGGCGTGGAATGGGTTAGTTGCCCGGTTTGTGGGGCCAGTGTTCTTGGCAAAGATCACGCAATCAACTCGCATTTAGGTTGTATACTCCTTCTAGAATTCAAAGACAAGAAAGTAACATAGAAGAAGAGTCGTCCTTTATTAAGATTCGAATTTGGGTCTGTTCTTGGTTTTGTTGCTGACTTTCTACTTCATTACTGCACTGCAATCGTTAACATGCTGAATTGCTTTTCTAGGCAGTGTAGTTAATGTTGAATCGATGGGAAAACCATAAATGTTAGGAATCAAGAAACAAATAAATTAAATTACAGAGTATTTGGTAGCTTAAGAGTGATGCTGCTCTAAGTGCAGTCTCCAATAGTCTAATCGCTGGATTACTTTGTGATGCAAATATTATTTGTCAAGAAATAAGAAATGAAACTCCTGAAATCCTGATGACACCTCAGTGCATTTATTTAGCTTAAAGGAACTTTGTCTTTTATCATGCTTTTGTGGTGTTTGAACTAGGACTTATGTGTCAAAATTGTCAGATAAATGTCTTTCCAAAGGAAAAAAGCGCAAGCTAAGCCAACGCACCCTGCTTCAGCTGAACTTTTGCTCAAGTTCAAAAGTTAAACTACAGGCTAACGAGTCAGAGACAAGCAAATTTCAAGGTAGAAATGACTTCACTATTTTAAATACCGTGCATAGGCTGGGCGGCATAGATGTGGTTGAAAATCATGATGGAGCTGTGTGCAAGGTAGAGAGCAGAGCAATTTGTAACACTGCTTTAGGCTTGGATCAGTTTGATGATGTTAAAAGACACGATGATGATTCACATTCATCATACACAAGTATGCTAGAAGGTTGTACAGAAAATCAAATGAATGGTGACAAGATCAATGAGAACTGCATTTATCCTTCATTGATCCCCGAAAATGAGATGCTTATAGAGGATAATGTTGAGTCTTTTGACAGTAATGACTTATCTGAACTGTCTCTTGATACATACATAGTTGGCCGTAAGTTTGGTGAAGAAATAGAGTTGAAACATGGTGCGAGAATACTATTGTCAAGAGACCCTGAAAATGTCAAGGATCTGAATGCAATCAAGGTTAATCATCATGGGATTCCACTAATTGGCCAGCTTCCATAATCTATGTACTTATAGTGCCCTTCACCTGGAAATCAGGTGCTTTCTACAGAATATGGATACGATCAGACAATTGGATTTCTTCCCCGTGAATTGGCTTATCATTTGTCGCCCTTGATAGAAAAGTTCAACTTGAGATTTGAGGTACTTCCCAACCACTGCAATTGCATGCTGACTTGCATATTTCCACAACAGCTCAATTCATAGCCAACAATATTGGTTATCCTTTCCCAATATTTGATACTCACATGCATAAAAATCTACATATAGATTGGCATATTCACTCCATCAAAAAATAAGGTTCCACATTTTATTGTGCACGGTTAATTAGGAAGGTGAAGTTTTGGTGGTTGAGATCTATGTTTGATGAGCCATGTAATTCTTTCATTAAAAGGAATGTAGAACATACCTCTATTTCGAGACAAAACAAAAGGAAATGTGGATTTTCTTTTGGGTATGGAGGGAATATCATTTTATGATTTTCAACTAAACATAAAATGAGCTATAACCTATTAAGGATGGAGTAACTAACATCTTCTTTTCAACAGATCCAAACATGTTGCACTTGCTGTTAAATATCAATTAAACCTCTAAGCTGTCCCTTACGATTTCATTTATTTTACCTTTTACCGATGGATACTCATCAGGGCCATGTAATCTCTGTTCCAACACACCCGCATGCTGTGGTCCCGATTCAAATAACTTGTCAATGCAATATATGTTTTGATGAGATAGATAGCAATATTGTTAACTCTCTAAAGTCTTCCTGGAGAAATGCTCTCTGTGTTGCTGAATCCACAAAGGCTCATCCTCCTGGTACTGCATATCAGCATAACCTCCAGGTTTTGCTTAAGGAAGTTTTAAAGGCATACCATCATCTTTTTATAGACACAGAAAAGACTTTCTTGGGTATGTAAACCTTTTTAGTTGTGTTTTCAACTTAATATATTTGGTATGCTTCCAAACATGTGCTCATGCTTGACTTGATCCAATATTTGGCATGCTTCCAAAATTGTGTTCATGTCTGATCCAATTTTTGTCAACAGAAGGTTTCTTATCACTGTCAGATGATAGTCAAAGGCTTTTTGCTCGGCTTTACACACGAAAAGGTCCTCTTCCTCTCCTGCAATCTTAGTTTTGTATGCCTTTAAATAACTAAATGCTTCTACCCTCTATGCTGGCAAATATCTAGTCACCATTTTGCAACTTGTAATAGCATATGTTTTCCAGTTCTAACAAATCTGCATTCGTGCATCATTAACTTTTTCATTTATACCATTAAATTCAGGACCATGGTTTCGTATGTCTAGTGCATCATATCCAGAAGTATCTGATTGCAATGAAGCAGTACATGGACTTTCTGGTAAAGTTTTTTTCGTAACCGTAAGGAATTTTCGCTAACTCGAATTCGGTTACAATAGTCTAAGCTCCCTTCCCCCTGTTCCATCTCCATACAGTAGGAGGCTATGTTACATCTGTGGAATCAATAAGTGAAGCCACTGATGTCAAGGAGGTCTTGAATGTTCTTAATGTTGGCGAAATACGTGAAATCTTGCATATGGTTAATGAGGTCTGTCACCCCCACCCCCACCCACCCACACACAAGCAAAAGGAAATGTTGCATTATTGGTCATTGAACTGTGCACAAATATTTTTTTTGGTTCCTAGATTATATTTACTTTTAGTTATGCCACATTGTTGTGCATTAAGCCCATTGTCCATTTGACTCAATGCCTTTTGTTTGTTTAATTCAACCATTTGCTAAACTAGTTTGAGATGAGCATAATTTCTCACGTTGATAGGATACATTAGCGGATAATTGATGGAAATAGCAATAAAAGGTCAGGGTGATGGGCTACGAACTATGAAGTTTAACAATGCAATGATGTGGCACATTTGAGAACTATATTTGGAAAAAATGAATAATTATGGATAAAAAAGTAGTGTAGCTCTAATAAAAACATTGTAATACAAGAAATGTATTTTGACAATAATACTTGAGGATTATTTTTACCCGAGGTGTTCACCATTATTCTTTATGTGAATCAAAAATGCAATTAAATGCATGTCATTCATGTTTTTGCTCCCAAATTTGCGATACCTTTATGGTGAATTGTGTATGATGGAATATATCAACTCAACCCAAGTGGTTTGGCTTGTGGGGCCAAGTAACCAGTGGAGTCTCGTTTAGAATGAGGCCTTAGCACCCTCATTGAGCGTGAGTGCCTTACCCCAAAGGCCGGCTAGCACCCAAGTAGTAGAGGATCACTTACATGTGGACACGATTGAGAAATAGGATACGGGAGCCAATCGGATCAGACATGGTGAGAGTTCAACCGCACAGGAAGCAGTTAACTAATGGAGTCAACCTCTGTTTGATGACGAGCCTTCTACGTGTAGACAGATGGCACTATCCAGCCATGGTAACTGAATTGTGTGATTTTTGGGTGTCCCTTCATAGTTCATACCATCAACAAGGTGCAGATCATGGGAGTTAGTTAGAGTAGCTTTGGTTGCGGTGAATGAATATTTTATTACAAATAGAGGACTCTTAGCTCTGAAGTGAGAATATAAACATTTATAATAACTTGGAGGCCCCACACTTTCATTGTCCATTTCATTGATGGGGGCTTTAATGTCACTATATCCCATCTCATCTTTCAATTCTCAGCTTGTGAGCTTGAAACACCATCACTGTGATAAACTGATAATCTTTAAGATATCTTTTTCAAATCCACTTTAGGGACTAAGAATACTCCATTTATATCCTTATGGTATGTTTGGATGGATGGCTTTCAAGGGGAAGGCTTTGGAAGGTTTAGTTTATGTCTATATAATAGTAAATAAAATGGTTCTAAAAATAGATAAATGGTTATAGAAATATTGTATTACACCAGGTACTATTTTCACACACTCTGTATTATGGTATTTCATGGGTTTTATAAAATGTTAAACATGTGGATACATATACTTAGCACACCAAAATCCAACTGCCAAACTGACCTTTCTTGCCACTTTAATTTTTCTCCAGTCTCTGACATAACATTTTATAGTAGGTTAAGGATTCTTTTATTTTTATGTTTGATCTGTACAGCCCTTTTAAGCTAAATAAATAAATGAATAATACTACTTCATGAGGCTCACAGATCTTCTTAGTTGGTTTGTTGGAGTTTTGTGAACTTGATACCGGATACTACTTCTGGTCATATAAACAACAACAACCAGCTTTATCCCACTAGGCGGGGTCGGCTTTTGGTCCTATAATCACTTAAATTATAAACAGAGCATTATAACCTCTTCCAACCAAATAATACTTGGAGCTTTATGGATGGTTTCTATCTGAGTTTGGTTGATTCCGTAGTTTATGCTCCTAAATTACAATGGCTTCTGATGACTACAAAGCAAGAGACCTACTTTGTGGACAGATACGGGCCATACATTTCTTGGTTCCATTTTCCCATTTTGTTCATATACTTGAATTTGACATGTTATCATGGATTCTATTTAGAACTAGTATCGTGGTCTCTGACAACCTGGTATTTTAAAAACTCAACTGCACAAACCTTTCTTTGAGATTATACAGAACCTATTTATCGTGCTTTTGCAAACTTAAATACCTTGGTTTAAAGTTTTTCCATGAGTAGTTTTTTTCCCGCTTCCTACTGCTCAAAGGCTTAAGTATGAATTAACCAATGTTTTTTATTATCCTTTTCTATTGACGTATGTTTTTACTGATCAAAATGCCAAAATATGATTTGAATTGTGAATTAATTAATGTTTCTGTTTTGCGAGAAACAAGCAATGTGCTGCTCAGGGAAATACGAAGAATTCAAAAAGATTTGGTCATGGTACTAGAAAGCAGGATTATGTTGATGTCCTTCTTTCCATACATAAAGATGGTTTTTGGTATAATGTCTCTTGGATTAGCTGCTTGTTGCATTGTTTCTCCCTGTTTGTTGTTTAGATAATTTGCTCCCAAAATAATGATGCAGCCCAGATCTCCTGAAGTTGGTTTCCATAAAAGCTGGAACATGCATTCAGATATCTGCATTGACTGAGTCTCTCTTTTGGCGTGCAGAAGTATACACATATTTCATTAAGATAGTTTATTATATATCAAATGCAAATTTAGCATATTTGATTGACGGATTCTCTTCTGGACTTCATGTAGAGACTCTTTTTCTTGAATGGGGAGCAGGATTTGTCCTCATTTTTACTTGTGGACTTGGGCATTGTGAAGTATCCCACTTACAAGTGTACATTCATGAACCAAATATTTCCAAACCGAAGTCAACTGCTTTCTTATGAAATGGTATGGCTGTCATGTTTTGAAAATTAATGCTGCATATTTTTCTTTACCTTTTACAAAGAGAGATACTTTTGCAGGCTATCGAGGTTGCTCAAATAATAGACGAATATCTTGATGAAGACAATGCTGAGATGGTGTCAAAATGCATAGACATTTCTGTCTTTTACTTTTCAATCTCTTTAAAGGAAGAGGGGTTATTGAGTTCTGATTCTATGGCTGCTTTTTTGTCTTGCTTCACCTCTGCGTTTATCTACTCTAAAGTGGTCCTGTTAGGTGTTTCTTTTCTTGAGCGTGAACGAAGGTATGATGGTTGGGCATAATGGTCAAAGGGATATTGGTTACTTTATTGCTCGTGAAAATGACTTTTTATTGAAGTTAAATGCCTAGAAGAATATGATTCTCATCATTGGAAGTTACGATTCCCATTACTTTTCAATAACATTGTGCATTTTGTTTATTGCCATTTCTGGCTGAACACATTGATATTTGCTACTGCCATTTCCAGAACCTGAGCAATGCGCATGAATGAAGTCCCCACATATCTGAGCCCAACATAATCTATATTTGCAGTGGTTCTATTGGTTTACATGGAAATATTTTTTTCTGGAAACGTTTTTAGACTTTCATATGTTTGACACATGAAAATAGAAAAAACGTTCCAGTGGTGCAGATTTTTACCTTTAGTAGGGAAAGTCATTTTCCTGTTTTTGCGGGACAAACTGTATACATGGAACAATGAAAGCACTCAAGAAAGTATTTTCCATGGAAACTATTTATCCCAAGAAGTTAATTTCCCTGAAAGAAACAGAACACAGTACTCTGTATTAATTACTGTTATAAAAAAGCAATTTTACCTACGTGTGTCTTACTTGGCAAGGTACAATGAGGCAATCATATTGCTCAGGAAACTGCTAGATAGTTTCAAAAATGACATGAGAAGGGGATATTGGACTCTGAGACTTTCGATTGACCTGGAGCATGTTGCGTGTCCCGATGAGAGCCTTCAAGTTGCTGAAGATGGGTTATTGGATCCGTGGGTCCGTTCTGGCTCAAAATTGTCCCTGCAACAGCGGGTTCTGCGGTTGGGTAAGCCCCCACGGCGCTGGAAAACACCAAGCTATTGTAAATCTTTAAAAAGGAAAATTCCTGAGGTATATTGTGTGGAAGATGTCAAGTACTTTGCATTGTTATGCATATTGACGGTCATTTTGTTTCACCATTCAAATACTTTTGGGTTATTATATATTGTATAAATTGATCTTATGATTCCAGGTCCATGTTCAAGGCAGGCCACTGAACTGCAAAATGGGGGTGAAGAGTACATTTTATGGTGAAGATGGTGAACGGTGTGGGGTAGAACAACTTGCTCTCCAATACTATGCTGGAGAGGGAGGTAGCTGGCAGGGTGTTCATACGGAAAGTGGTATTTGGTTAACCCTTTTTGGGCTTCTGATGTGGGATGCTATATTTGCCGATGTTCCAAATGTATTTTGTAATAAGTTTCAGGTACTATATATTCTCAATAACTAAATGCTGTTTGGTAAATGAGATGAAAAGGAATTAATAGCTCACAACCCTTCTCGCTCATCTAAATAAATTTTAGAGTAAATTCTATAATTAGTCTTTTATAACAAAATATTTTCCATATTTAGTCCTCTATAATCAAATATTTTGCTTGTGGTGAAATTAAGGGGTGAAAGTGTAATTTCACAATAATCATATATCTTTCTTACCATAGCCAATGCCAGAGGTCGCTGTTAATGCGTCGTTTGTCATTTAGAGTCGCTGTCTACTGCAACCATACTCTAGAAATATCATCTCTGGTCAGAATTATACTCCACAACCATAGTCATTATTGTTGTGTTGTACGTCAAGTCGACACTAGAGTACGTGGAGTCGATGTGAATTTACAATTTTAGTCCCCAACTTAACATCAACATGACAGAAGGTCAAAGAGATTGTCAATGGGCGTAATATTTGATATTAGAGGACTAAATAGGGAAAACTCTGTGTTATAAAGGACCAAGGATCAATTATAAAGTTTACTCTAGATTTTAACCTTAGTTTTTTCACTTTTCTAGTTTTCTACACTTTTATTAAATTCTGTGCAAGTCAAACAAAGAAGGTTTTTGCAGGAGAGGGAGTATGTTCTAATGAATAAACTGTAATAACAAAAGTATAAAATAAATGCTCTCTGTATCCATAATGTTGCCAAGGAATTTTCTGAGAAATGGAATCCATTTTTCTCAGACAGCACCTCTGGATTTGGAGACTGATAGCTTCTACGAGGTTAGAAAGAGGGAGATAGAAACAGTACTAGAAAAGATTCAGGGTGGGATGGCAGAAGAGATACTCATCACTTCATGGGAATTACATAAAGGGACATCATGCAGAGGGGTAAAGTGGGAAAGGCATTCTCTGTCCCAACTCAGAGCAGCTGTGGCTTGCATTGGAGGCTCTTGCACCGCATCAATATGCCAAAATTTGGCCCAAGATTACCGGAGCTGGTCTAGTGGGATGCCCGACTTGTTACTGTGGCGCTTCCACGACAACTACAGAGGCGAAGCAAAACTTGTCGAAGTGAAAGGCCCAAGAGACCGACTCTCTGAACAACAGCGTGCTTGGTTGCTCTTTTTGATGGACTGTGGATTCAATGTTGAGGTATGCAAGGTAACCCACTCTCTTTTATAGTTCCCTTGCAATGAAATTCATTCAATATATTTTCAAACTATGATATTGTTACACACTACGATTATTTGAATCTTAGAATTGACATATTAAAGTCCATCAGTATTTATAAGAATCCAGCAACATATTGCATTTTGTGCAGTAAATATACGCATTTAAATGATGACTGTTTCGTTCTCTTGGTCGTGTTTTAGTGTATCCGGAATCTCCTTTTGTGTTGGATCAATTTGATATAAATATATATTTGTTTAATGAAAAGTATATACGCCAAGTTGGGAAAATCAAGGTTTGTGAGGGAGTCCTGTTATCCTATAGAAATGAGAATACCCTAATGTGATCCTTTAATATACCAACTATGAGCTTAATTTCCCATGGGATTTTTTTTGGGGGGAGGGTATTGTATGGGGGGCTATTTTTGTGAGCTAGGTGGGTACGGTTTAGGGCCGAGAGGGCGATACAGCGGGAGGGGTGGATGTGGGCTGGGGGGTTAGGCCGTGGTCTGTACCGGTGTTAGAAGGGCAAGGTTAAGCTGAGCCGAAGGGAGGTGGGCCGTAGGTGAGCAGAAAAATGGTGGGTGATCGTCCTCCGTGGGTTCAAGAAAGAAGAGGTCATCTGGGGAAGTTGGACGAGCATAGGGAAAAATAGAATCATCAAAGATGACATGGCGGGAGACAATGATTTTATTAGTTTGGAGGTCAAGACAACGATACCCTCGTTGGCTAGATGGGTGGCCAAGGAAAATACATCGAGCTGAGAGTGGGGCTAGTTTGTGAGGGGTGTTTGGTTTTGGAGAGTGGTTGTGGGGAGAATATTGAAAATGTGGGCTTTCATATAGAGTGCTTCAATCCAGAAATTGGGTGGAAGTTGGGCTTGAAAGAGGAGAGAGTGAATGAAGTTGTTAAGGGTGCAGATAGTGCGCTCAACCCGATCATTTTGTTGCTAGTATGAGGACAAGAAAAACGGAAAAGAATGCCCAAGGAAGCAATAATAGTTTAGAGTGCAAACAAATAAGAACCATCCGATGCATTTAATCAAAGGGACCAACATTATTTTTATTTCTTTCACCAAGCATCATTCTCAAAGGAAAGATACATAACTTTATTTTTAATACATAATCTTTCATATTACAGCAAATAACTTTAAAAAACTCATTTTTAGTGGTTTGGTTGAGTTTGACCCATTTTTAGGGGTTCGTTTGAAGTTTGATAATCTTCGGATTCGACCAACATAATTTTTGTTCTAAACCTAGTATTTTCGAACTGAGTCTCGAGTCAAAAATAGACCGGGTCAAATTTTTGCTATGTCTATCCTAAATATATATACTCTCATTTGTTCCAAATTTTTATGAAAATTTAGAAATGTTAAAAAGATATTAGATTTATATTTTGCAAGGATTCTTCTTTTGTTTTTTATTAAATCTCCGTACCAAGGCTCGTTTTTTGTGTACTTTTTGTTCTTCATTCTTCAATTTTTTTATTCACTCTTCAATGAAAACACGTACTTGTAGTATGTAATTTGAGGTACAATTTTAGCATACAAGTAACTAAGAGCAGCTCTAATGGAGCTTTTAAAACGTAGTAAAGTGTAAAACTTGAAAGAAATAGCTTTTACTATTCATTAATTGGGTTTCCAATGGGTCTTCTAAAAAATAGACCACAATCTATTTTTAATCTTCAAGCATCTATATTTAAACGACACTGTAGCATAATCTATTTCACCACGCTGCCCGTTTCCACCTCGCTTCAACTAGACCTGGCAAAACAGAACCGTAACCGATTACCCGAACCGAAATATCCGAAACCGGAATGACCCGAAAAATGAAGATCCGATTTATAACCGAAAACCCGAAATGATCCGAATCAAACCGAAACCGAAGTAAATAATTCATATCCGATTTAAATCCGAAACCGATTAGATCTGAAATCGATAATATCCGAACCCGATTAGAACTAAAATCGATAAATTCAGAACTATGTTTGCCTTTCAATAAGCATATTATATTTTTAAATTTTTATTTTTATTTTACCATTTGAACTAATTACATTACTTGCTCATTCCCTTATAAAATGGATTATCTTCTTGAAAAAAAAGTACAAAATTTCATGCCTTAAATTTATTATATGTAGAAATTAAAGATAAGTTATACATATAAATGATAACGCACAAACAAATAAAATTTCCGTAATTTTTAAATAGTGAAGTGTGATATTCTTTTTGGGACGAAAGGAATATATGATGAATTGTATGGAATAACTAGATTTTATCATAATTTCATCTCATTACAATAAATTTTACTGATTTGAGAGTTAATTTGATTAGTTTCAAACCAATTCACTCAATATTAGTCAATAAAATTAGATGTTAGTGTTAGCATTTTGAAAAGACTCTCTAATGGTAGCATGTACTGTTATCATTTTCAAATTTGATATACACCATTACATTTAGGTGTAAAATTAATTATATTTGACTATATTAAATTTAATTTTCTCTATTTTCAACCAAATATACTCAATAATTTACAAATTTTGCACTCAATTGAATAAAATTCACTTAATTTCACCTAATTTTACTCAATTTTTACCAAATTGTATTCAAATGGAACATAAGACTATTTGAATTTATCTTTTATCCTTTCATTTATGTACATAAGTATATTAGTAGATGGGAGAAAAATTTGATATTTCAAAAAAAAAAATTAAAATCAATTTAATTATATTAAATTTATATCATAATTAAATATATATGTTTTCATAATTTCTAGTTCGAATTTGTAAAATATGACTAAAAAGTCAAAAAGGAAAGATTATTTAGGGTAGAGATAATATAACTAGAAAAAAATATAAAATAATATGAGGTATTGAATTGATGATAGATTGATAAATGTGATAAAACATAAAAAGAAACACAAATAGTTAAATTTTAATTAGAAAATAATATATATCTAAAATATATTTGATCCGAAACCGAAATATATCCTAACCGAACTAGACCCGAAACCGAAATATATCCGACTCAAATTGTATCCGAACCGAAATCTATCCGAACCGATTTATAACCGAACTGTATCAGAACCGATTCGAAACCGAACCGAACCGAAAAATGTATAGAACCGAAATCAAATCCGAACCGAAAGTTAACCGATCCAAACCGAACTGAACCGATTATAACATATAACCGAAAGATATCCGAACCGAAAAAATCCAACCCGAAACCGTTGCCGGAAGCCTTTGAGCTCGATTTGGTTCTGATCGGAGAAGTGACCGTGATTGAGGCAACCAAATCGATTTCATACGGAGTATTTTATATTTCTGCACCCTCGCTTGACAATCTCCACCGCAACCAAATCGAAGTCTATACCCGTCTTCAAAGAAAGCAAAGCTAATCGAGCTTCAAGGACTCCATAGCTCGAAAGTCTCAAATCAAGGTGAACACCTCAATTCCTAGGAGAACATGTGAGGGATCTTGCCGATTTTCTCCCCCACCCCACACCTCTTGAAGAAGATGAATGTGAGGGATCTTGCTGATTTTTTAAAAACAAATTAATTTAAATAATAAATTATTTTGAAAGCGTAAAGAATATAGATGACATGGTTGGAGAAGATGTTAAAAAATGAGTTGCTAAATCACTATTGGGAAGCTAAAATGGCTTATAGCTTCCCAAAATTTAACTTCTCCATTGGAGATGCTCTAAGAGAGGTTCCATTTAACTTGTTTATTCCCCTTATTACTTATTCCCAATAAAATCAGATCTAATCAAATTAGATCGGATCATATCCAATCAAATCAATCAGATTAGATTCAATCAGAATTATTATTATTATTTCTAAAATTATTATTATTACTATTATTATTACTATTGCTATTATTATTACTATTATTATTACTATTATATTTACTATTACTCTTATTATTCCTATTATTGTTATTACTATTACTATTAATATTATTATTGATATTACTAATATTATTATTATTACCATGGGTGGCCCGGAGGGTTTGCAAAGTGGTCAACCGCACAGGGTCCCTAAAAATTTTAGGGTCCATATTTTTAAATTTGTTAATAATTTTAAAGCAAAAGTATTCGACAAATAAAATAGGGCCCAAAGTGTAAATTTTGGACCGGACCAATTTTATTTTTTCTTTTTTCGGGGTCGGCCCTGATTATTACAATTATACGGAGTATTATTATTACTACTACTACTATCATTATTATAAGGTAGTGTTTGTAACAACTATACACATAAATTTTCAATTTTTGTTTTGAATTTAGGAAAAAATATAATATTTTGTAGCATAAAAAAATTAAATTTATATTTTGTAGTATAAATTTATTATGTAAAATATAGAAGAAATGCAATAAACTGTAACATAACATTCATATTTTCTAATGATTGTATTTAATAATAATAATGTCTTTTCTCTATATTGAATATTAAAAAGTAAATCATTAAATTTTTTAATTATTGGTTAATGTCAATAATTTATATATATATATATATATATATATATATATATATATATATGAATTAGTTATTTTTATTTCATAAATCTAATAACTTTAAAATAAAAGTTATTGATTATATTATAATATGAATGATCATTATAAATTTTAATCACATTAATTCGAATTTAATTTAGATAAGAGTATATTTAATTAGATCAAATCAAATTTAATCCACATCAAATAATGAGATCAGATGCACTATTTTCTTCTTTTCTTCAATCTATACTTTATTTAAAAAGAAGTGAAGTCAACTTTGTGTTTCCCCGCCCAAGAGTGCTAGGCATTAGTTTTGGTAATTCTAAAGTTTAATTGGTAATTAATAAATGCTAATAATTATATTATATTTTATACAGAATTTTGTATTGGTAATATAATACCGAATTATTATATTCTGTTAAAGGAAAATAGGCATTAAAACACGTATGTTATTTAATCTGGTGATTTAAGCAATACGGTAATATCAAACAATTACTATTTTGAATTAATATTAACGGAATGAATTTTTTTAATTAAGGTAATTTAAATTGTTTAGTAATAATAACGACACTGAATATTATAAAAAAGAAAACATGTACTCCGTATGTTATTTAATGCTGCGATTTAAACCATATATATGGTAATATGAAAAGGTAAATATTCTAAAAAAGGAAATTGTACTTTTAAAAACGTTAACATTACTTCACAAATTTCTTTTGTAATTCACAATTAATATTAACGGAACGGATGTTTTCGAATTAAGGAAATTTCTATTTCTCAATAATAATGACACCACGGAATATTATAAGGAAGAAAACGTTATTTTTAAAAAAATTAGTATTACTTTTCACACACAATGCCTTTAAAAACGTGATATTATTAATCTAAATAATAATTATTATTATTAATCTAAAAAAATTGTTTAAAAGCTATAATAAATACATTTCCTTTTTATCACACGGTATTAACTGTGGTGATTAACCAATTTCCTTTTTAAAACGAATAGTTTTAACGCGTAATCATTTTAAAAAAGAAACAACGATAATATGACACAATTTATAATTGATAATTAATATTAGTTGAACGGATTTTTTCTAATCAAGGTAATAGTACTAAATCCTCAATAATAATGATGGCATGGAATATTATACAAAAGGAAATATAAATTTTAAAAAAAGGAATATTACTTTTAAAACACAATGCTTTTAAATCTATTGTTATAAAAGGAATTTTAAAAAGAAGGAATATTACTTTTAAAACACAATGCTTTCATTTCGTATGGAGTGTACTAATTATTTTGGATATAAATAGAACATGACTTTCCATGGTTTTAAACTCACATTGGCATCGTAAATTTACTTTTTCCATTCTTTAATACAAACCACATAAGGACTAATTAGTGTGTGGTCCACACTAGATGAAGTTGACGATAGTATTGGTCCGTTCATGGTAAGAGTTCACGCTATACATATTTATCGAACATCTGCACATGATCGAACGCCACAATCTTTGACGTCATTTTTCATGATGACAAAGTATGATACAGTTTTCCCTCGACTCAGTTTTAGTATACCAAATAATGAGAATTATTGATTACATTAACTAATTATATGCATTTACAAGGAAATCGGATGTGTTGATAGGAGATTCAAATATCGAGACTTTCGAGAATGACCTCGAAGAAAACAATGTTTATGGTTTATATAAGTTTAAAGTCCAACGCAACCTACAAAACACAAAGACGACCTCCAACCTTTTATGATAGTCTTTTTTGGAAAGACGAAGCTTCATAAATTATCTTTGGAACAATTTTCGAATTTCTAAAATTCATGGCTCTTAAAGACATCCAGTTACTGCCTTTGATAGACGACATTCATCTATATCTATACTATATTTAAAAAGAGGGGAATTCTCCATTCTATTTTTCCGCCTAAACGTTTTAGTCACAAAAGAAAAGTGCTAAAACTTGAAATGGTAACTGCCGCGTACAAGGTAATTTCATAATTATTTTCTCTCTCACTTTTATTTCATAGTTATTATTAATTATTAAATTATTAATTATTATGGTATCATGTAATAATAATAATAATTAAATTAAATTATTAATTATTATTTATTTGTTAGGAATCTTCTGCTATTGCTTGTACATGTTGCTTGTACTTGGTACTTTATCTGTGTTATACTGTGTTCCCTTCCATATTTTTGTGCAGGTGGAGCCGAGGGTCTCTTGGAAACAGCCTCCCCACTTCCGAGTAGGGGCAAGGTCTGCGTACACACACCCTCCCCAGACTCTACTGTTGTGGGATTCACCTGGGTTGTTGTTGTTGTAATAATAATAATAGAAAAAATAACATGTTAAACTTCAATATTAATATGGTAATAATATGATACCACTAGTTGTAACCCCGTGCTTCGCACGGGCTCGCATATTTCTCTATAAAATATATCTATATGTTAACATAGATATTATAAGTTAACATTTTGGATGTTTGTTAAAAGTTCAATTCATATATGAACATAATATGAATTAAAATTTAATTTTATTTATTTTAATGTTTTAATAATAATATGATATGCATTAATAAAATAAATAATGTAATAAGATAAATTTTTTGAAACAAATCGTTTAATTAATAAATATGCATATGTGATTAAATTTATATAATCATTTTTTAAAAAGTAATAATCTAAAATAAGTTGTGGATAGTATAAAAATTATATATATATATATATATATATATGGAGTATATTTTACAATGATGAAATATATATTTATAGAATTATTAAAAAATGAAAAAGTTTTATGCAAATGTATTCAAAGATCTTTTTAAAAAATCAAAATGGACCAATGAATGAAAATGCATAAATCCACATCATTAGTGAGTGCACATGTGGATGCACATGTGGCATGCCACATGTCAACACTACAACAATTGAACTTTCTTTTACATATATATAGGATAGGATAGGATATAATAATAATAAACGCAATAATTATTTTTGGTGCCATGTATAATAAAAAATGTAACATGTGGAACTTAATTTTAAATTATGAATTATTAATGAAGTAATTTCGTACCTCATAAATTTGGTACATTGTAATAAAAATGGTAAATGTCAAACTTTAATTATTAATAAGTTAATTTCATACCTTACAATTTTTTGTATCGAGAATAATAAAAAAGGTAACATATGAAAGAATAATAACATGGTAATAATATGGTACCGAATAATAATAATAATCATCAAAAGAATAAACTTAATATTAGTAATAAAGCTAAGTTAGTTTTGCACTATTACCGTGTATAAAATAAATGAAAGTGTTGAGTTGGTTCAAAAATATATATTCTCATACTTATATATATTTTACCAAAATTATAAATTATAATATTAATTATTAATTATTAATAAGGTAACTTCATACCTTATATTTTTTGTACGTGTAATAAAAAAAGGCAACATTTAGAATAATAATAATAATATGAAAATAATATGGTACCGTATACTAATAATCATCATAATAATAAACGTAATAATAATCAAGGTATGTTAGTTTTGTGCTATTACCATGTATAAAATAAATCAAAGTGTTGACTTGATTTTAACAAAAATATTCACACACCTTATATTTTTTTACCAAAATTCTAAATTATAAAATTAATTATCAATTATTAATAAGGTAACTTCATACCTTATATTTTTCGGTATCGTGCAATAAAAAAAATAACATGTGAAACCTTAATCATTAGTTATTAATTATTAATTATTAATAAGGTAATTTCATAAGTTATAGATTTTGGTACCATGCATAATAAGAAAGGTAGCATGTGAAAAAATAAAAAGAATATGGTGATAATATGGTACCGTATAATAATAATAATCATAATAATAATTGTAATAATAATAAAGGTAAGTTATAGAGTAACAATAATAATCATAATAATAAACGTAATAATAACAATAGAGTAACAAATTATAGTGGTTTGAAGATTTCGATGTGCAACGAACACAATGTTCCCACAAATTGTACAAATAATGCAGTTTACAAAAAATCGTTTGAAATTTCTAAGCAAAAAACTTTTGTACCTTAAAATAATAAAATCTCTACATTCTATTACTCCCTCCGTCCTATAATGATCTTTCCAGAGCACTATTCCACACGGGAATGTATATTTATTTGTGTTTTTTCATGGCCTATATGATAAAATAAAATATTCTTGTCACCACTTGTTTTGTTGAACTTTTGATGTAGTTTTTAAATATGCATGTTTTATTTTTTATTTCTATACCAATATTTAAATAAAATAGATTGAAAAAACTTAAGATTTTTTTCTTTGTTTTGCGAACCGGGAAGATTGACGGAAGGGAGTATAAATCATACTCTCTCCGTCCCCCTGTATTTGTCCACATTTGACTTTTGGAACTGTTCATCTAAACAGTTGACTCATCAAATTCAATATAGTGCATTGGATTGGATGACCTTTTTTGAAGCATTGCGCGATTTACGCTCCCCATCGCTCTGTGATCTGCCATGGAGGGAGAGGGAGAAGGAGAGGGAGAGCGTCCGGAAAAGCCTTTTCAGGTTTGATCATCACGATGAACAAAAACCAGTCCTATACTGATTTCTTATTTTCCGTTAATTTATTTCCTTTCGTTATCATAAGCTTCTTCATCTATTTTTTGCTCAATTGTGGATGACCTAGCTTTCATTTCTTTGCCGTTGCCATCTTTTGTATCTAGTACAGGTTATATATTCAACGTTATTTCTGTCAAATTGTGGAGCCTGATCCTATTCCTTTGATTGGATTTTTTTATTACAATGGCCTGAATTATTCGGGTTTGGTGTTTTCGAATTGTGATAATGTGATTATAATGGCATAAAATGTGCAAATTGTCAACATTTTGGATTGGAATTTCAGAAAGGATTTGAAGGAAGAGTACATATTGATGCAAAATGCAAGTTGCTGATAAGTATAGTATTAGGACTTCAAATAATTGATTTGCATTGTTTGATGTGTCATACAAACAATTCCAAGTAGGTCACAGAGTAATTTATTAATTTATCCCAGAATAGAAAATCCACAGCCAGTTTGGTAATGCTGTGGCTGAGAGTATTGTATCTTACATGTATTTAAAAACTTAAAAGGCAAAGAAACCAAAAGCTGTTTTTAAACCACAACACCCAGTGTTTGAAAATGTATTTACTACTTCATACTCCGTTTTTATTTGTAAAAACAGCTATATTTTCACAACACTATACACTCATATCATAAATTACCAAACATGGTTTTTTTCAGAGCATGGTTCAACACTTTTTTATTTAGAGTTCAACATTTTATAAAAAGTAATGCCATGTTGATCCATAATTGTTTAGTGTGTTGGTTGATGATTATAAGAGGGATATATATATATATATATATATATATATATATATATATATATATGGGATTGACTCCGGTGAGAGGACACCTTATGGTGAGATGACATGATTCGGTGAGATGACGCAAAGCTCACCACACTACACTACAAAGCTCACCAATGAACAATGCAAAGCTCACCTAAAAGTAAAGTAAAACTCACCACTTTTTGAACACAAAAGTCACCTTTTTTTTAAATTTTGAAAATTAAAAATTAATAAATTATAAAATAGCAACACCGGTCAACCACCGGTCAGCGGCGGTTTCCGGCGACTGGCGGAGGATTCCGGAGACTGGTGGTTTCCGGCAGAGCAACGGTGAATTCCGGTGACTGGCGATGGAACAGCGGCGGATTCCGGCGACCGGCGGCAGATTCTGACCGAAGCATGTCATCTCATCATAAGGTGTCATCTCACTGGAGTCAATCTTATATATATATATGTGTATATATATATATGTATATATATGTGTGTGTGTGTGTGTATATATATATATATATATAGGATTAACTCCAGTCAGATAACATGCTACAGTCACATGGCACTAGAGCTTACCATTGATCATTACAAAGCTCACAAAGGACTACTGCGGAGCCCACCAAAATGTATGGGAAAGCTCACCATGATTTTTTCAATTCACGCTTTGAATTTTTAAAACTTTGAAATTTAAATGCTCACAAACTCTAAGAACAAAGTCACCAATCCTCACTGCAAACCCCACCAAGTACACACACAAAACTCACCAAAAATTTAGGTTGATTTTTTTAATCAAAAGGTGACTTAGACCACCATTGACCGGCGGCAGCGTCTGGTGAGCGGTAACGAACGGGCGGCAGTCAACGGCGGCAGCCGGCGCTCAAAGTCTAGTCAACATGGGTCAAAGTCCACGCCTTAAGTTTTTTATGGAAAAAAACAAATTGTTGAACAAAATAGGTGAGCTTTGCCATATAGCTTGATGGGCTTTGTAGTTGTGGGTGAGCTTTGTAGTTGGCACTGGTGAGCTTTACGACTTATGACCGTAGCATGTCATCTTACCATAAGGTGTCATGTGACTGGAGTTGATCCCTATATGTATATATATATATGTGTGTGTGTGCGTGTGTGCGTGTATGTATATATAAAATTGTTTTGACACTTGAATATGGGAATTTTGGAAACTGAAGACTTCTTTGTACTAGTTTTCTTGTTCTAATTTGTTATGCATCATGGGTCCTCTCTCGCACAGCTATGCGCTTGTTCTTCTTTGCTTTCGCTGCAATACTACCATGTCCTGGCAACTCATAATCCATAAACTATACAATTTGTGATTTTGTTTCTTGTTTTCTTTAACTAGTATATTTTCCAAGCGGAGCTTTTCTGGAGAGCAGTTTCACAATTAATCAGAAGTCAAAATGAAAAAGGCATTTGATCAAACTATGAGGGACTTGTAAGTATAATTCATTACTACGGAGTGTTTACGAGTATGATTATTCAATTAGGTACTAAAACACAGTTCCATGATGTTTTGATTCTTGTTTTACACTATACCCCTTCTGCCAGTTCACAATTCCCTTTTTGGGATGTCTCAGAAAAGTTCAAACTTATACTTTTTTCTTTTTAAAGAAATGAAGATGTGGCTGTTATTTCTCTTTCTTCTAGATAAAATTTAACCACTCACTTTTCTTAAACTTCATGAATTCAAACAGGTAACTTCTTTACAGGACGTAGGGATTTGATTATTTTGGTTACCTTTCTTCTATACATGCACCATTTAATTTGGAATGAATTTTGGAAACAACCTCTTTACCTTACTAGGAAAGGGTAATGTCTGTGTACATTTAACCTCCTCAAAGTCAAACACCATTCATGGGATTCCATTGGGCTTTTGTTTTAATCTGGAATGAATGGAAATGATATCAAGGGGTGGTGACCTATTAATGCATAGATAAATAAAAGTACAGCTAGTTAAAAAAGTCTTAAGTGTGAAGCAGTCTTTAAATGCACTAGGAAATCCTTGCACCTTATAAATAGATTTTTTATCCAACCTTTGGGATTCAACACTCTCGTGTGCAATCTTTTGATTCATGGCAGTCTTTCTTCAAAGAAGATATGGATAACGGGAGGTGAAATACTGCGACTACCCCCATGTCTAATAAGAATAATTTAATAATAATAAGAATAAGATGAAAGTATAGCTCTTAATCATATATTACCTTTCTTTCTATTGTAGAACTGGCTTATTCAATTATCTTCTGTTTATCTATCTAATGCAGAAAGCGAGGGGTTAACAAGAAAGTTCTTAAAGTCCCTTCAATAGAGCAGAAGGTATGTTCTGCTTCCTCTTATGCTCTAGTTCTCAATGCTCTCCTTGCCTCCCTTTATATGACGAGTAACACAGCTTGACTCAAGTTATTTACATTTTATTTTTTTGTATTTTTTAATTTATTTTTGATAAATACAATTGGTATATTCTAAAAGTTCTTGTAAAGTTTCAGTGCGCACAAAAAAATCAAATTCTAGAGGCAAAAACAAAATTGTTGAGAAAAAGAAAAGAAAGAAGCGTTGAGTACTTGAGTTGTTCAATGAATGATAATTAGTTCATATAAATTGGGACATGGGAAGTATTATGCATTTGCTTTGAATTTTTGACGGAACGGCTGACATTTCTAGCAACACCAGTTAAAACTTGCTTCTAAGAATGCTATGGACAATAGAAGTGAGTGAAACCCAGATTGGTCAAAATTACCGTCTGATAGCTTGGTATAAAGTATTAAAGTATAAACAATAGCAAACTACAGCAGAGAAACAATCATTGTATCTCATTTAAATCTATATTGATTTTTTCATGTTGTGTATAAATTCCTGCTTTGCTAAGAATCCGGGTAAAGTTTGTATAATAATTTAGCAGAAAGAATAGTTAAAATTCCAGTATTGCTTTTGCATGATATTTGCTGATACCTTTGAAATAATGAAATTAACTGTATTTGATAGCATGATGTCTTTCGCCCTTATTTGACTTGTTTGGATCTATGATAAAAACAGGTACTTGATTCTACTAGCAATGAGCCATGGGGTCCCCATGGATCACTTCTTGCAGATATTGCACTTGCCACTCGGAACTTGTATGTTACAAGCTCATCTTTTCCACATATTGTTTTTCAGCTTGTTCCATTTAAGAGTGAAATTTTGATTTTTCACAGCAACGAATATAAAATAATTATGGCTGTCATATGGAAGAGGATCAATGACACTGGAAAAAATTGGCGGCATGTTTACAAGGTTGTCGTGATACCCTTTCTATATATGTGAACATACATTTGAGTAATTCTATTTTGGATTGATGTATGTGTTTTTTTTCCTTTCATTTCAAATCCACCTATACAAGCCTACAAGCTACATGGAAGGATAATATGTACCTTTACTTTTCAGGCTTTAACTGTTTTAGAATACTTGGTAGCTCATGGGTCAGAACGTGTCATAGATGAAATCAGGGAACACGCGTATCAGATAAATGTAAGGTTTTTCTCCATTTATGTTGAGAGTTGGATAAGATGCATTAGTATTTTTGCATTGTACTGGACCAGTTCAGGGGTTTCATATTTTCCCTGCTTGCCACAGACGCTATCAGATTTTCAATATATTGATTCCAGTGGCAGAGATCAAGGAAGTAATGTTAGAAAGAAGTCTCAATGTCTTGTAGTTTTAGTGAATGACAAAGAAAGAATGCAAGAAGTTCGTCAAAAGGCATCTGCAAACAGAGACAAGTATGTTTCATTATGGTTGTTTTATACATGTACACGGACCCCTTGTATTCGGATGGAGAAGATATGATATCAAACTGACTTGATTATTTAAAATTCTAAGGAATATGTTGAATGCTGATCATCCCACAGTTGTCGAGTGAGGTTGAGTCTAGTACACAAGTGCGAGCAACATTTATCCATCGCTATTGACATGAATGTCACAGTTTGTATATCTGGATTTTATACAATTATACAATGCCTTCTTGTGAAATGTATATGTTTTTGGATCTCCTCTATCATAACTTCAAGCTGAAATCCCTTAATGAATTGTTATTTCTTATAGATTCCGCAGTGTGTCAATGGGTAGTGTGCATCGTCCGAGTTCTTATTCAAGTACAGGAGGATATGGCGAAGGTTGGTATAGTGGTCATTATGGAAGCAGAGATGATAATCGAATTGGCTATGGGAAGGAAAGGGGATGGAGCCATAGAGATGAGGATATATATGGAGACTCATATGGACGTCATGGAGAAAGGTATGATAGAGAATATGAGGAGCGCAACAGCCATTATGCATACACTGATAGTGATTATCGTGGAAGTGGAACAAGTAAAAGCATTGATGAATATGGTTCAAGAAGCAAAAGCTTTGACAGAGAGAGAGAAATTGCTTGTGATGGTAGTGATCATCAATCATCCAGGTACTCTTATCTTTTACTCCCTCTGCCCAAATTAAACAGTCTACATTTGGTTTGGCACATAGTTTAAAAAAAGGAAATTGTATGGTTGAAAGTCATGTAGTGGGGAGAGAAAAAATTTGAGCTGCAAAAACTTTTCCAAGAGTGGAAAGAGGATGATTTTTTTGGGATGTTCCAAAAAGGAAATGAGGATTATTAATTCGGGACATAGGGAGTATTTCCAATAAATTTGCACTAGAAAATGGGTTTCTTTAATCCTAAATTTAGTGCAAAAGGTTTGGCTTGAGAAGTAATAATTCCATCACATAAGAATATAAAATTGTTTTAGAATGTATGAATCTGTATATTCAAATGATGATGAACAACACTTTAATCTGCATCGTTATCTATTATCTCCTAATGACAGGGGAAGTGGTGCTGCGGACCTCCCACAGAATGAAAGGTTTTTTTTCTTTGCTACTTATAATACTCTTAGATGATCTCCAAATGGCTCTCATTTAAACATCCATTTTCTTTCATTTAAAAGGGAATATCATTTGGTGACTCTGAAGGAATCTTTATATTATACAAAGTATTTTCTCTAATGGGCTCTTTATATAATTCCTAATTCACAGTAATCTTTCTCTAAATAACACACATTATAAAATTTATTTGCATTTTCTAAATTGACCACAACTTATCTTATCATATCAAAATTACCCTATTATCATGTAGGTAATTGTTGAAGCTCAATATAGCATATGCCTAAAGGGTAACAATATTTAGATATAATTGCTGCACCATCTGTTTGTTAAATGAAGGCATTCATGGGACTCAAAAATCTCAATAAGGTGGATGGTTAAATAGGAGCATAGGGGCTCACCTATGCATTCATGTTAAATGATTGTCTTTCCAAATTTAGAGAGTTGAAGTCACTCTATGCATTCATGTTAAATGATTGTCTTTCCAAATTTAGAGAGTTGAAGTCACTCTATGCATTAAATCTTGTAGGCATTTATAAAGGAATATGGGGCCCACCTGTTTTTAGTCATTTTAAGAATGATTTATCATTAATGAGGTGGATGGTTAAATAGGAGCATAGGGGTATTTAAGAATAAAAATAGATGGTCTTTTGTTTAAACAATAGTATTGTTTTCAAAATAGAAAGTAACTTTGGAGATTATCCTTTTTTGGCAACCATTTAATACAAAGATCACTCAATAGTTTATTCTTTTTTTGTAGGCAACAGCTTGAGCGGAAATTTTCTGAACAAAACCTTGCTCCTCTGAGCCTCGAGGAGGCAGCTGGTGCTCCCACGCATACTGCAGGGTATTATATGCAAATATCACCACACTTCATACCTCTACTTGAAGCATATTGGTTAATACATTATTGTTTTCTAATGCTAAAAAGGGATGTGGGGACTTCACCAGTTACCGCCGAATCATCATCCCATCAAACATATGCAAGCCCAAGTCAAGATACGGGTGCACCAGAAAACAATGAAGCTGTTGAATTGAGTGAATTTGATCCCCATGTTTCCTTGTCAGGTAAAACCATTCAAATAAAAGGGTCAAAATGATGCTTCAATGTTAAATTTTCAGCGGACGGATGTACCAGAAAATCAGTTTTGGCCTAGAATTCCCACTGTAGTCAAGGGACTAAAAAGGGAATGCAATTCTGAATATTTGTACGTACCTTTTTAAGCAGCTGCCCATTGTGCTTCTAGTACTACTGCTGGCCCTGAAGTGGATTTATTCGGCTCCCTATTTGAACCACTCTCTTCCAATTCACTAGCCCTCGTACCTGCTGGATCACTTACTGGAACATCGCAGGTTAATCCATCTGGTTTGACTGATTCTGAAGTTGCATATGCATTATCAGTTATCATCATTATCTATGGTTGGCAACCATGCTGGTTTTTGTTTAGCATCCCATATTGATTGTCTAATGTCTATCGAGTTTGAGTCTAGCATATAAGTGCAAGGAAAACCTCCACTTTTTAAAATCTTTTTGGGATGAGTTTGGCATTTAGTTTAGTATTCAAGCTTAGTTCGGTGGTGGTTTGTGGGGCAACCCCATATGAAGGTTGTTTGGCAATTGGCCCCATTTGTCCATCCCGACTAAGAGGTTTGTTGAGTATCCCACAATGATAATCCATTTGGAAGTTACGCCCAATCTAAAAGTTCTGAACGTTGATATAGTGATATGTTTGTACTTTTATCCACGTGAAACTTCAAATTTAAATTTCGGATCACCTGCTTTTTTGGGGAATTGAAGCATTTTCTTTTTATGCAGGATATTAAGAATCCCTTTGGTGATGAACCCTTCAAAGCTATCCCATCTTCCAATGGCATACCTTCTCAACCTCCTGATGTTACTCAACCAACGTCTCATATCTCTGACCAGGATATTGACATATTGGCTGATATTCTCCCCCCATCTAGGCTTTCACAAAGTGAGCAACCCCTCCCAACTTGCCAATTTGCACCTCATATAGGCTTTCCGCCACAAGCTACTCAGCAAGCCCTTCATATACGGTTTGTATCTCAAAATGGCTTGATTGCTCAGCACGGAGCTGGCTCTCCATCTCAATCTGGTCAGGCTACTTTCATGACAAGTTTTGCTGCTCAGCCTGGGCAACAGTTGTTACAAACATCTCATGTTGATTCACGAATGTGGTTTCCTGCTCAAATCCACCACCAACCTCAATCTTTGGCACTTGTTCTATCTCAAGCTGCTCCTTATAGAGGTTTTGTTGGGAGTTATAATAGTGCACCTCTATGTCAATTCTCCCGCTCAATGTGTACACAAGCTGGAGAAACTACACATGATAATAATTCTATGCATTTTTCTTCACATCATGGTGCACTTGCACAAGCACCGTCACAGATGGCAGCCCTTCAATCGCCGAGAACTCAAACAGAAACCATCCCTCCTTTTTCCACTCAGCCTCCAACTCAGCCAGCCAAGGAAAAGTTTGAGACAAAATCTACAATTTGGACCGACACACTGAATCGCGGACTGGTCAATCTAAACATTTCTGGGCGTAAGTTCTCACCAGTTGCGGTATATTGATTTTTGCACCATTTTTTTGGGTTAAAACATGAATATCCCCATAATTATTTACTAATGTCATTTTATGCACAGCTAAAACAAATCCATTAGCCGATATTGGAATTGATTTTGATGCTATGAATCGCAAAGAAAAGAGAATGGCGAGTAATTCTACGGCACCAAGCATTACAATGGGGAAAGCCATGGGCTGTGGCTCTGGAATTGGGCGCGCCGGTGCAGGTGCTCTTAGGCCTCTACAGACTCAGATGGTTAGTGCTCATCCGGCAGCAGCAGGAATCCCCATGGGAGGCTACAGAGGACCAATAAACCAAACAATGGGTATAGGGATGATGAGACCATTGCTGCCACAACAGCAGATTCAACAGCCTAATTCTGGCTTTCCTCCTGGAACTAATGTAAGTGGAGGTCAGTATCCTCTCCCTGGAACTACCTATTACGGCCACCAACCATTTGGTGGGGGATATCGCCGTTGAGGTCCGATCTGCCATGTTGATCAATTTTTTTTTAAAAATATGTTCTTTTTATACAAAACATACCCTCATCCCAGATAGTTGCTTGTTTGGGTTATACTCCCTTTTTCTCCTAATTCTACCACACAAAAAACGTCTTTCGATAGTTAGCAACATGCTCGAAAGTTCGTACAAAATTACAAGCATGTCCTCACTCTAGTGACCATTGTAGTTTCTCTTCCAGAACCTGGAAAATGACCACGGCTGGCTAGTGCATTAGGATATTGTATACTCCTTGGATAACATTCTTGGTGGACATTTTGTGAATTGTTACATTCTTGCATTATGTCATTTGGATATTCTACCTTGAATAATATACACTGTCAAAAGTGCAAGATATCTAAAAGTCGTTTCAAGTTTTGCAAATTTTGGTCTGGTCTAGATTGATTCAAATTATATTTAAAGCTATTTCTGATTTGGTTTGATCGATTTCAATAAAAATAGACAGTACTATATAAATAAATAATACTTCGTAAGTAATAAAAATAAACTAAAAGGAACATACTCTTAGTCTCTTTTCCAAAAGAACTTTCAATACATGCGGAGGTCTATTCTAAATTTTCAACTTGTAACAAAGTCACCAAGTGGCAGACTAGTTGGATTAGGAACTATTTGTATAATTGGTCTTGAGTGTAACGTTTAGGTTATGTTTTATACTCGTATTAGCTTTTGCTTTTGAAAATATTATCTAATGATAGCTTTTAACTTTAATAATGTTTGCACAAATCTACATTCTTTAAAAAAATGATTCAAAACCCTAGTTTTTTTTCAAAACCCTAGTTACAAATGTTGTTTCTAAACGATCTTGTAGTTGACTCGCTTCGAATTATTTGACCTAGTGGAGTTGCGTTCAAACATTGTGAGTTGGAAATTGTCCAATCAAATGTGAAATTGGCCAATTTTCTATGGAGTACCAAACTTTAGAATTAGGGAACAAACTATTGTAGTAGCATCCATGTGATGAGGATAATGCTATTTGTACCTCATTTTGTACTGCAGGAATGCACAAACGTTTTGTGTTGGTGTAATATTAATTTTTGTTAACGCACCAACATTTTGTGTCAGTTTAAATTTTTGTTAGCGCACCAATACTTTGTGCCAGTGTGAACCATCAAAATGTTGATGCATACCTTTGGTGTACAAATGAGGTACAAATTTTGGGGTAGTTGTAGCCTGCTCATATTTTCTGTGGAGAAGCATTAATATTACTTACTCCCTAAGGTTTGTATATGTATAATTGCACCTCGTAAGTATAATTGACTTTAAAGTCAAAAGTTTGACTGTATACTTACGAGATGTAATTGACGTAGGTGGGGGGATGAGTTTGGGTCAGGACTTGGCAGGGGGATTTACCGGGGGGTTAGAGGGGTAGTAATCATCAATTTTATGAATGGAGGTCCGTAGGGGACAGTGGCTTCCGTGACCACTGGAACTCAGTGGCCACGGAACCGGGCCGTTATGGAAATACGTACAAAGTAACTCCTTATATAGGAAATGATAGAAAATAAAAATGGAAACTTTATTTTTATATGGATGGGTTACTTCAAAGAAAAAAAGCATACATCCCAAAATTAAAGACACAATTGATCAAGTACCTTTGACCATGAATTAATATACTTTTGAGTAAATGCTACGGATAAATTACTCCATATAAAAAGTTGATACATCAAAAATGTATTTTAAAAATAAATTCTGTTATATTTAATTTACATACAATTAAATATCCTTTTTATTAGTATGGTTGATAATGCTCTCAATTATTCTTCTATACATCAAGTAACAATGCCAATCATACAATTTCAAGTTTTTAAAGATTCATATTAGTTTCAAATTCCAATGCGGTTTATTTTTATGTGAAGGATCATTATTTTACATGCATATTTGTACTAATTATTTCAAGAATTGATAGTATATAAGAATGTTGTTGAACCTAAAAATTGACTCCACTTCTTAGTAATTTCGAGTCCGCCACTCTGTGATTGGGTACATTATACTACGTAGATTTTATCGAAAAAGAACTAAAAGTATTGCTCCATACATCAACTTACCAAAAACACATTTTAGCCAAGGACCTTGTAGTCTAATGACATTGCTATACCTCTTCCAAACAAGAAGTCACGTATTTGATCTTGAGCCCGGTTCCACGGCCACTGGAATCCAGTGGCAATGGAACCGGGCTCTTTAATTTTTTAGTGCGGGCAGTAACTTTATGAAGTTTAATAGTTAGAGAATGTATGAACACTACATTATAATAGAGTTATTAGTGTTAAAAAACAATTACACATTTTACGTTTATACTTATATTCCAAAGTAATTTTTGAATATCTGTTATATAAGTTCATGTAAAGACTATTTGTTAAGATAAATTTGTTATTATTTGTTTTGTCCATAAACAAATTTTGTCAAATGAAATGTTTATTTATGAGTAATCATGTACCACACGCATTGGTATTATTTAAAAAAAAAAGCTAACATAAACAATGAGAAAGTGTGTACGGAGAAATCGGTTTTTTACTAAACAAATGCTAACACAAACAATCGGCCTTTTTTTATGCCGCACAGTTAAAAGATTAAAATATTTAATGTGGTGTACATTTATTCAATTTATCCCGGACTTCTATCCGGTTAAAATATTTTTACTAAAAAATGTACACCAACTCTATTTTTCACATTTCACATTTCAATCGGTTGTTCTTTAATGGTATACGGGGCCGGTTCCCGTGAGAATCCACCTTGTGGAGAGAAATGAGAATAAAATCTAGCCATTGGATTTGATGTATCGTGCAGCTCAGATTGCATCCTGCACTCAGATTTTGAGATATTACATTTTCAAAGGATTATGGTGCATTTCGACATGATGCATTTTCAAGCCATTTTGATGCACCTAATTTTGATGCAATCCTGACCCTTAGATCTTCCAATCTAAAACATCAGATTCATTCTCATTTCTCTCTTAAGATCACATTTTTACTAGAACCAACATCAATGATATACTACTCTATCTCTAACATAGTTTGGATAATTTATTATTATTTCTTAATTCAACATGAAAAATGAACTAAATGCAGACAAACTAAAGCTAGATTTTTCTTTTCTTTTTTTCCGCAATAATCTGTCTTTATTACTCCTTGATCTTAATCTCTCTTTAACAATGAGAAAAAATTAAAGAAATCACTTTAAATAGGAGTAAAACATAAAAAAATACCAAAATAAATATTTCATTTTTTTTTCAAATAGAAGTTCACACTAAAACAATGTGACAATATACATGGTCATTTTACAATACTTTTTTATAATGTATGCAATCATGATTGACAGTATAAATGCATTGTAACTCATATTACGGAAATAAAAACATGAAATTCTTATTTTGGTTTATTTTTAATATTTTATTCCTACTTTAGACTTTTTGTACCGTAGATAGATAATAACAGTATACTCATAAATCATAATCATTTCTCAAACTCCAGCAATTGAATGAGTGAATGAATACTCAGTAATACTGATTATATACATTATACAGCAGAGTAACTGGAGAAAAAAAACAAAATGATGGAAGATTCACCACAAATCAATATCATATTTCATCAGTCAGTGAATGACTTTCTTCTGCAGTTCTGTATAATAGTGTCGTCTCTAGACTCGTTCTTGCACTTCGGTTTCTGACATATATATATACACAGTATATATATACATATACATATGCGTGTGTGTGTATATATATATGTATATATACATACATGCATTTTATGATGTGGCGGTAGCCTGAGACCTCCAAAGTGTCTGGAGAGCCTTCACAACAAAGCTCATGTTGGGACGAAATTCTGCCTCATATTGTACACACAATGCCGCGACAGCTGCCATCTACATTTACCCAAACATTTATCGTGTCACCCAAAAAAAGCATTAGATGTAATGGGGAAAACAATTACAACAAAAGGCCCAGTAAAATCTCACACAAAAAAAGTGTGGAGGCAAACCTTACCCCTACTAGTTAGTAGAGAGGTTTCCAAATTTGGCATCCAAATTTTGGTGAATTGATGGGCCCAAAATATATGTTGCATGAATTATAAGAATCAAATGCTCATCGATTTTAAATGTGTCTTGTTTTATGTTAATTTAAATAAAAAAAATTGTTAGGCCTATTGATTTGCCTATAGCCGGGCAACAAAAGAAAAGTTGGGGTATGGAGAGAAGTAGAAACCTTGGCTACTGCTTTAGGAGGGTACTCTCCTTTGAGCCTTGGGTCTACACACTGATGCACTTTATCTTCACTCAATCTTGGGGTGGCCTAAAGATATACATGAAAATTGAGCAATAGTCACGGTATTGGTAGTAGTTAATTAAGAGCAAAAGTTTAAAACTTCTCAACATAATAATAATCGACTGAATGAATGAACGGATGAATGCTCACCCATGTGACAAGGCTCTGCTGTCCGCGAGGCATAGTATGATCTACAGGTTTTCTTCCTGTCAAAAGTTCGAGAAGCACAACTCCAAAGCTATATACATCACTCTTCTGAGTTAGCTGTCCGGTCATTGCATATCTACCAAAAAAATAGAATAAAATTAGTGAGACAATTAAAAAAAGTGTAAAAAGAAAACAACAACAACCCAGTTGAATCCCACTACATCTGGGGAAAAGAAAAGTGATGGGGAAAGCAGCATTACTCTGGTGCATGATAACCAAACGTTCCCAGGACTCTAGTGGAATGAAGCCTGGCAGCCATATCGGGAGGTTGATTAGAAAGGTTAAAATCTGCAACCTTTGCTTTGAGGTTATCAAAGAGAAGGATGTTGCTCGATCTGATATCCCTGTGTATTACCGACGGTTGGACCTTCTCATGCAAATGTTCGAGTCCCCTTGCAGCATTAACAGCAATCCTGACCCTTTGCATCCAATCCAGTGGTGGCCCAGGTTGTGATCCTTCCACTCCTTTTCTTCCTGCAATCCCAAACAATTTTGTTCTTAATTAAACTTGTGGTGTTTTTTCACTCATTTTTCATAATTATCAGATCAGATGATGTTTTTTCTCTTACCGTGCAATACATCATGTAAAGATCCCATGGTTGCAAATTCATAAACCAATACACGGTGATTTCGCTCCATGCAGTATCCAAGCAGTTCAACAAGGTTTTCGTGTTTGATCCTTGAAACCATAGAAACCTTAAAACGAGCAAACACCATTACCATTATCAGCACCTTAGTCCCAATTAGAGGAATGTCAAGAATATGCAGGGAACTTATTTTCAAGAAATGTTTGTGTTTGTAGAGGAAGAAAATACTTATACTTCAAAAAGAAGCATTTGGAAGGAAAATGGCATAGTGTTTTCAAGAGTTACAAAAAAAACTTCCTTCTAATGCTTATTCAAGAAACAGGAGCAGATTGATGCTTTTCAATACACCACTTTAGGTGCCTAACTTAATATCCTAAACAGGCTCTAATTCTTTTTTTGAAAATGAAAATGTGTATGCAAGAGTTAGAAACAGACTTGAGTTAAGAATTCGGCATCTGGTCCTGGCACAGATGAGTCGTCTAACTTCTTCACAGCCACAGGTTTCCCATTTTCTGAATTTGCAAAGTACACTCTTCCGTAAGATCCTTCACCGATCAGCGCCTTTAATCCAAAATTGTCTGTTCTTTCCTTCAACTCATTTAGAGAATAAACAGGCACCTCAATAGGTGGGATTGCTGTTTTCACCTCGGCTTTGATGGGACTTGGCACTTTTGGACCTTTTTGACGCCCTACATATGTAAACACATGTTTGATGGTGACTAATGTGTGCATTTATAAGCCCAAATAAATTTTCAAAGGTAAAAAACACAGCCACGTATTACTCAACACATAACCATGCCATTATAAATTTTGAATGTGTCTTACCTTCTAGGCTCAAAATATACAATATGTGACCACCTTTTATTTATGGAGGGGTAGAATGTGGTGTATAGAAACTTTATATGCATTGTTTTCTTCTAGTGCTTTTGTCCCCTATAATTTTCTATATTAAAACCAAAACTCTCCAGATGAACTAAAAGGCTTCTCAATACAAACTAACAATCACAAATCTTTATCTTAAACTATACTGCATTTATTGTAATTCTGAAATGGTTATGTATCCAAAATCTGAATACAATCAATTAATCTCACCCTACACTATAGAAGGTCCTTCTGAAAAATTGCAAGCTAGTTAGGGAGAAACTCTTATTAGCTGTGAATGATGGTAAAACTCTAAATGAGACAGAATTAGTTAAACTCTTATTAGCTGTAAATGATGATAAAACTCTAGTTAGGGGAAAACTATGCATTTTTTATGTGTGTTCATATTATTATCATATTTAGCATATTATATTCGATCTATATATTCTTTAAAGAAATAAACATACCATCGGAATGTTTAGTGGGACTTTTAAGGAGCTCCGTTTCATGGGAAGGGTAGGATTCGTCAACTTCGGAGACACAACACAGCCATCTACGCATCCTTGCTTTCTTCTTTACATAAATATCATCATCATCTGCACTTGCCTTTTCAAATGGCACAAAGTAAGCCGGAGGTGGAGCATTCGACTGTGCAACATAACAGGACACAATTACTTGCCCAAAACCAATTGAAACGAGCCCACAACATTAAAATCCAGGTTCAAGACGATTAATATTACAACATTGAAATTTTGTCACAGTTTTGTTTCACATTCAAGACATACAGACACACAACAGATTCCATAATTCCAGCAAAATTGTACATCTGAAAGAAGAAATAAACATTATCCGGATTCTCTTTATGCTTTCATTGTAGGATTCTAAACAAATGTTTTGGGTTTTCAGAAAATCAATGCAATGATATAAAAGAAACAATAATAACAACAAACGATGACGAATAGAGGGAAATGTAAAAAAAAAGGGAGAGAAAAACGTACCACGAGACCTCGCCGATGAAAGGAGCGATCCATCGACGGGAATATAAAGCGGGAGAGCGATGGGAAAGGAGGAAGAAGAGAGCCGCAGAGAAAGGAGCGATGAATGAATAATCCCCAAACTCGTGAGAGGTGGGGAGAGAGAGAGAGATAGAGAAATGGGGATTGAAGGGATCAATCCGAGATTGAATGGAAAAGCTATCAAATACTCCGAAGAATGGAGACGGAATAGAAGAAGCCTTAATAGAGAATTGAAAGAAAGGATGGGAATGGTGAAGCGCCATTGATGATGAACTGCACTGGGCGCCGATGAGAGGCCCGCCGGTATTCAAGCTCTGATTTTCCATTTCATATTCCTCATTCTCTCTTTGCTATATTTACTCCTATTTCTTTAGTTAGTCTTTATTTTTTTAAAGAATAAATTTAATAATTTGTCTTTATAAGATGAAAACTCTAATATTTAATCATTTATTACTAAACAGTACGCTCACAATCTTTTTTTTAAAGCTAAAAGTATAATTTCATATTGATTTGTGTCGGGTGAAACCAGTTTGACATAACATTCAATAATAATGACTGTAGTTGTTGATTAGGATTCGAACTAGATACGACATGTGTAAATTATGGTTGTAGCAGATAGCAACTCTAGTTGACATACGGCGCATCAATAACGGCGTCTATCACAAGGTATGTCAAGAAAGACATAATGTCAATGTAAAATTATAATTTTAGATTTCAAATTAACACCGATATTACTGTGCAATCACGTTAGAGAGAAAAAGTGAATTCTCAAAGTGGATGTGTCACTATTGACGGAGAAAGCTTGTTCCTAAGTCTCATGACTTTTGGCGCGCAGGCCACATGGGTGCATAGCTAACGAACAGACTTTTATCATTATTCAGACCGGCCCATCAGAGTAGATCGATCGTCGATCTGTAACCCACAAACAAGAATTGGCGCTTGGCCAATGTGCCCATTCAGTCGTTCTTGCTTTATGACCAACCTTGGTCCTGGGCGGGGTCTTCTCCTTTGGTCTTCTTTTTCCTTGAACTAGATACCTCATGGAAAGATAATCATAAAAAAGGATCGCACAAGTATTAAAAAGTTGAGGAGAACATGCTCGTGGAAGAGTGGGATAATGTAGAAAAAAGGTAAGAAGAGTAGTGAGTTTTTCTCTGTAATTCAGTTAACTGTTTCTCTCGGTCAAAAAATAATAGGTTTTACTTATTTATATTTATATCAAATCTTTTATTTCTCTATTTTAATGAGATTATTTACAAAATCATTTCCCACTTTTATAAATAATTCTAAATTAAGGCTTGTTCACTTGTTCAAGTGATCTGATTATTACTGATTTGGAAAATGCTAAAGAGGCACCACGTGTGCCTCCAAGCATGCCACCCAATATATTTAATGTTTTTTCAATTTTCTTTTTTTCTTAGTCTTTTCATCTCTTGCCTTCTTCCCCAAAATTCCCCCTTTTCATCTCTCTTTTTTCGGCAACTCCAATTCGCCGGCATAGCCGGAATTGCAGCGCTAGACAACTCCAATTCGGACAACTCCTAGTCGAGAGCATAGCAGCGCCGGCAACCTCACCCTTCCAGCTCCAGTGCCGGTAGCCCCACCCCTCCAGCTCCAACGCCGGCAGCTCCACCCCTCTAACTCCAGCGCCGGCAGCCCCACCCCTCCGAACAGGTACTGACGCTAACTTTCCTTTCCTTGGTATCGTTCTTTATCTCTCTCTGTTTCTAAAATTGATATAAACCCTAGGGGGGTTCGGATCTCGGATCTTATTCTACATTGGAATTTTAGCGTCTTTAGTAAATACTCCGTAGTAATTAATGATTTTCGAACAGTTCCGAAGTATCAAAGACCATATGCCCTAATTATGGTTTAAAAAGTAATAATCATGGGCACTTCAAGGATCCAGTTTATGATATACTTAAGATTTGCTTCTTTTTAAAAAAATTGATTTCTTCAAAACTTAGCAGAAGATAGCAACCAGGGGAACCAAGTTCACAGCATTCTCTAAAAAAGTTATTCTTTACTACATTTAGTGCTGAATTTTAACATTCTGGGCAGTTAACTCTACCGGCACGTTCATCGCTTAGCAATACAAAGAAAAAGACTTTGAAATTGGGTGTGCAAGGTGATCAAGTTGATGTGGGTTAATCAAGAAGCATGTTTTTTAGAGTATTTGAACTTCATATAAGATTATTGTTTGTGAAAAAGGTTTGCTTGTTATTTTGGCTTATGGTGTGAATTGTATGGCATAGATGGTTAAGTTCTGTTATTTGAACTTCATATAACATTATTGTCTGTGAAAGAAGACGTCTGCTTGTTATTTTTGATTGCTTACTGTGAATTGTATCTCATGACTCCTTGAAAGGGCTGAAATTCTCATTTTACGTTCAAGTAGTAAGAAGAATACCCCCTACTTCGCACGGTTAAGGGTGTGGGTGNGCAAAAAGCAAAAAGGGTGGAACACATCTTGTGTTTTGCTCTTTTTATTTCCTTGTCGACTACACACAAATGTAACACTTCTAGGAGTTCCATCTTTGGCTTTGCGAGTTGTCCTAGTCCGCATTGGAAATCCTACACTTCGAGCATAAGCCAGATAGTGTTCTCGAATTTCTTCAATGCTTGTAAACTTCATCCCCACTTCAGGCACGCTACCTTTGTTTCCTTTAGAATGACATTGACCATTGTTCCGGACATCATTGTTAATGTCATCTGTGTTTTGTCTGATCTCACCACTCGCCCGTTCTTGCCCTTCTTCGTTAAATAAATACTGAAAGCAATGATCGTTTAGAAAAAAATCTGGTTCAAAAATCAAAAGCTGCAAAAAACAGTACCTTTAATATAATAAAATACCTGACTATGAAGAAAACAATAATACACCAAATGCAGAGTTCATACAGATAATTAGCATCTGTGACAAGGACAAACCCTAGATTCACAGAACTTTAATCTTTGTAACACGAAAACAAAACAGTTTTTTCACTACTTCAAATGAATATAGAATGGGGTCTAAATATCAACACTTACAACTGGGCTGCAACTCATATAAAACCAGGTCTTCTTCTTCACCACCAAAATCATGTGGTTGCTCATTCTCAACATGTGTAACAATAGATGTTTGTAAGTCCATAATCACCAAATATCTTATGTACTCTACAAAAATTCAAAAAATTATTGCCATAGAAATTGACTAAAAATGGAATGAAGAGAAGAGATTGACAGAGGAATTGTCGTGCTATAGGGGTTGGCGCATCAGAGATATGAAGAGGAAGATAAGAAAAAGAAGAGATTACCTGCCGGTTTGTAAGAAGAAGAGCGTATGAAAGGGAGAAGAGAGTCGGTCGCTGCCGCGGAAGAGCATATCCAGAGCAACATAGAGGAAATGAGTAAAAAAAGAAGGAGAAAAGGTAGGATTGGTGGGTGCACTATAGCACGGTAGTACTGATTTTTAGAAAAAATATTCAGTGTAACATTGTTCCCCTGCTGATCATCTATCTCCGCCTGATTGTGGAGTTCCAGTCCCCTCGCGCGTTGAGTTGTCGAGACACACTACGAACACGAATGCCCAAAATTCAAGAACAGGAACTTTTAGTTGAAAACGCAGTCCGCTTCTCTGCAGAACCCCGCAGATCATCGATCTCTTCTTCCCATCAATCAGGTACACTTTATCACTCTCAGTTTCGGTCCCGTTCATTTGAAAAGGTTGGAGGTCGCCGTGACGGGAATGAGGATTGTGAATTTTGCGCAAAACATCTGGCCTTTCTCTGTATTCAAGCGCGACGACTTGAGGGTTTCGGAAGGGTTAGTCAGGAGATTATCGATTCCGGATTGCACCAAACGGTTCGTCTACGCGATTCCAGATCCCGACTCCGGCGCTGTTGTGTACGTGGTGTGCGTGCAGAACCTCTCCGAGCAGTCGGCCTCGGATGCCCAGTGCCTGATTAGGGAAATCCGGCCGGATGCCGTGGTGGTCCAAGTCGATAACATGACGAGTGATGCTCTCAGGGATGGGAGTGGGAGTAAATGCGAAAAGGGTTTCGTGAAATCCATACTTTTTGGTGGAAACGAAAACGTTTGCGAGGAGAATTCGGTTCCAACCTCTGCGATGGAGGTGCTAAGGAGGTGCTTTATGCACAAGATCAACAAGGAGAAGTATGAGAGCATGGCTGGGAACTTGGTTTTGAGTGAGATTTTCGGGGTAGGGTTTGATGGATATGTGTTGGCAGCCAAGAGAGCAGCAGAAGACGTCGGTTCAGCTCTTTTGTTGCTTGATTCTCCTTTTGTTAAAAGCACCGACAATGCCGAGTGTTCTACTACAGTGGGAGACAAAGGGTATGGAGTTCTAGGAGTGAGGGCCCATAGTAATTCAGTTCTTCAAAGAACATGGCAAAGTTTTCATACAAATATCAGTATCCAAACTCAAATGGTTAAGCTATCATCATCATTATCGTCATCATCACATTTGCTTAATTCCACTTCTGTTTCAAGAAACGAGTCCGAGAGTATCAGTCCACAAGTGCAGTATCAAGTTCCCCCATTTGCTCAGTCTGTGTACCCTTTACTTGTTGATTTGCATGATATTTTTATGGACATCCCTTCAATAACTAGAGCACTAGCTTATGCTCAGAAAATGTTGTACGATGTGAGTAGAGGAGAGATGGTGAAAGCCGAGGTCCTCTCTGAAGTTTATGTGTTCAGAATTGCAGTCGAGTCGTTGAGAATCACCTTAAATAATGCCAGTCGGCTCCCTATTAGTAAAACCAAGAACGAAAGCCGAGAGTTTTCTGAGTTATCTATTGAGGATAAATCACATGCACTTCTTGCCCAGGCTCTCAGAAGCCAAACAAAAAAGTTCAAAACAATCGTTGCAGTACTGGATGCACGTGGGCTAATCGGGCTTAGGAAACACTGGGATACCCATGTACCCCAGGAAGTTAAGGATATGGTTGACCAGCTGGTGATTGGCTGGGAGAGTGGGGAAACTTCAAAGATGGACAGAAAAAGCTTATTAGCCGGGAAACCAGTTGTGGCAGTAGGGGCAGGTGCTACAGCAATGATAGGCGCTTCATCCCTATCCAAAGTTGTCCCATTGTCCACTGTTATGAAGGTCGTCACCTTCAAATTTCCCACCTCATTGAAACTGATGATGACCCAGTCCCAAAAGGTTGCAGCAATTATGCTTGGGAAATCAAAGGTTGCAGCTCCGGCGGGCATGGGGCTAAAATCCTCTTTCTTTAAGACAGCTGCTTCTACGGGGAAAATTAAGGCAGTGGCCCATGGCTTCATAACCTCAGCTCAAAAAACTAGTTTCTCAGCTATGAGAAGTGCTTTCTATGAGATTATGAGGAAACGACATGTACGCCCGATTGGGTTTTTACCGTGGGCCACGTTTGGGTGCAGTGTGGCCACCTGCTCAGGATTAATTGTTTATGGGGATGGGATTGAGTGCGCTGCCGAGTCACTTCCCTCTGCTCCTTCAATTGCAAGTTTGGGTCGTGGGATTCGGAGTTTGCACGAGGCCTCTAAGGCTGTGGGGCACTTTAGAGTCCCTTCTTCACAGTTAAGAACATAAAAAGTCAGATACCTTTCTTTTGTGAGGCACTTTTATATTGGCCATGTTTGCCATTGCTTTTCGCCCCAGTCTTTTGGCGCCTCCGGTTTGCAAACAGTGGTGGGAGTTTTTAGGGGTTTGCAGAAACAACTTCTGTATCTTTTGCGGATCGGTGATTCGTTGAAGCAAAGAGCAACCCCCACCCCCCACCCACCCACACCTCAAAATTGTTGTGTACATGTGATTGAGTATAGAGAGCCTTGCTATTGCAAGCACCTTCAACTAAGGAAGATTTTATTTTTCCAAGTAGGGGATAGATAACAAATTAACATGTAATAGTAACCTGCACAGATGTATCAAAGAACTCAATATACATCAGACACTCTGCTGTCTTGAAGGTGG